AGGTACCGAGGTCCAAACGGAAGCTCAGAGGGGATAGATCTTTCTCTGTTGCTGCCCCAATTTTATGGAATGAGCTACCCCTCCAAATTAGACAAGCCCCCACACTGTCCATTTTTAAAACTCGTCTTAAAACCCATTTTTATTCATTGGCTTTTAACCCTGCATGAGACTCGGCTCCTGTTTTAGTGTTCTATGGTTTGTTTTTAGTTATTTGTTTCTATGTTTTTAAATTAGTTTTTAAAAACATTGAAGCTATATTTTACTTTTAATTCTGCTTTTATTTTATCCATTGTTTTAATTGTTTCTTGATTGTTTTTTATCTTGTTGTTTTGTCTAGTTATGTACAGCACTTTGTTCAGCTGTGGTTGTTTTAAAGTGCTCTACAAATAAAGTTGAGTTGAGTTGAGTTGAGTTGAGTTCATTCCCTCAGGTGGCACTGTATCAAAAACCGACATCAATGTGTAAAGGATATCACCACATGGGCTCAGGAACACTTCAGAAAACCACTCTCAGTTAATACAGTTGGTCAAAGCGAAATCCATTTTTCAACAACATGCAGAAATGCTGCCGGCTTCTCTGGGCCTGAGCTCATCTAAGATGGACTGATGCAAAGTGGAAAAGTGTTCTGTGGTCTGACGAGTCCACAGAGAAAAAAGAGGAAAAGAACAATCCGGACTGTTATCGACGCAAAGTTCAAAAGCCAGCATCTGTGATGGTATGGGGGTGCATTAGTGCCCAAGTCATGGGTAACTTACACATCTGTGAAGGCAACATTAATACTGAAAGGTACATACAGGTTTTGGAGCAACATATGCTGCCATCCAAGCAACGTCTTTTTCATGGGCACCCCTGCTTATTTCAGCAAGACAATGCCAAGCCACATTCTGCACGTGTTACAACAGCTTGGCTTTGTAGTAAAATAGTGCGGGTACTTGACTGGCCTGCCTGCAGTCCAGACCTGTCTCCCACTGAAAAAGTGAGGCGCATTATGAAGCGTACAATACGACAACGGAGACCCCGGACTGTTGAACAACTGAAGCTGTACATCAAGCAAGAAAGGGAAAGAATTCCACTTTCAAAGCTTCAACAATTAGTCTCCTCAGTTCCCAAACATTTATTGAGTGTTGTCAAAAGGAAAGGTGATGCAACACAGTGGTTATTCTGAGTAAATTAGTATTTGCAAAAAAAAAAAAAGTTTATGAGTTTGAACATTAAACATCTTGTCTTTGTAGTGTATTCAATTGAATATTGGTTGAAAAGGATTTGCAAATCATTGTATTCTGTTTTTATTTACGTTTATCACAATTTCCCAACTTCAATGGAATTGGGTTTTGTAATTGATGACAGGTGCTGTCATGGTTGTGATCACAGGTGTTTCTGTTGTATATTATCTTTTATTCGGTTGTTGTTAATGTGGTTGTTGTTGCTAATGTTGCTGTAGCTGTGATATTTTTGTATCATGTAACTATAAATTCATAGGTCAGGCTCAATCCGTCTTTATCTCTGATTGGTTTTAATCCTCACTAACTGTCTCACCTAAACACTCAAACTGTGACCTGTGTGAGGCCATGCCCTCTTTACTTGTTAGTTCTGCAGGTCTCTTAAGAACTGATTTTTTTAGAGCATAGAAGTATGTTATCACTGTGCTAATATAGAGACAGGTGTGTCTGTGTGACATTTGTGTGGATTATTAACACCTGAACATCAAACAGCTTGAAAGGTAAACAGAACAGTACACTAGAGTAGGTACACCAGAGGTACCCCAGAGCAGATACTCTTGAACAGGTACCCCTATAATGATAAGAGTATTACCATTAAACCTATTTTTATTATAATCACTGCAAATACTATGATTGCAATCATTATTTGATATTTATTATCATTGTTCTTCTTATTAATAGTAGTAGGAGCTTTATAACCATAATTATTATTACTGCAGTATTAGTATTTATTGTTAATATTTTGATTATTAATATGTACATGAACAACTGAAACTAGCAAAAGGAACTCTACCTGTTCCTTCTCACAGCGCTTTTTTGGTTCCCCCTCCAGGTGAGCATAATGAAGATGAAGGAGATGATGTAGATCATGAAGAAGACGATGATTACAGTGGTAGAGTTGGTCATCTTTCAATCAGAAGGTCAGGGGTACAGTCCCAGGTCCTGCTGTCCACATGCTAAAGTGTCCTTGTGTCCTGAGACGAGACACTTAACCCCACTCACCCTCACTGGCTGTGCAAAGCAGTATGTGAATATATGCTAATATATATAGCAGCCACTGTCATGAGTGTGTGAATATGGTGTGAATAGGTACATGTGACAACACTTTGAGTGGTCAGAGGACTAGAGAAAACCATTTTATAAACAAAATCCATTTACCATTTGGCAGTCTTCTAACATCAGGGGGCTTTAGTGTTCGTGGTGGTAGTGGGCGGGGTCACTTGCTTCTGTTAAGATCGGCAGGATCTGACAGAGAGCAGCAGTTTGACAGGAAACTTACCTGAGAGAGGGAGGGTGTGTGCTCTCAGAGAAGAGCCTGCAGGTAAGTCTAATGCTTCTATCTTTAAGACCAAAAAAAGGCCAGAAAGAGGCATGTTCACATGAATTTATTTCACTGAATTAATCCAAACTTTAAGGTTAATAGAGAGTAAAGTTTTTTTCTCTTAAGTTTAAAATCAGATGTTAAAAGAGAAGTTAAAATGCTAAACTGTAAAAAATACATTTAAACTACGACCTGTCTCTGCAGCTGCTCTGTGACAATATTTGAACTAAACCTGTCTCTGCTGCTGCACTTCAAGAATATCAATCTTTAACTGTCTCTGTTTCTAGCTGCACTGTAAAGATACTTCTGATAAGTCAGGAAGAGGTGCAGGGTGATGTGATAAATGATAGTTTCTAACTCCATTTGGGTGACACTGTTTAGAATTATCCTCATATTCTCTCTCTAAGCTCCACAGACTGTCTCTGCTCTGTATCACTGTTATTATTTATGAGCAATAAAGCTGTTCAAATACAGCAGCATGAAAACTTAAAATAAAAAACACTGAAAGACTAACGTCACACCAGCTTCTTTCAAGCTTTCATGAATCCTTCAACAGTAATGATCAAAAAAAAGGGAAGCTGCTGTGAAAGACAAAAATTAAATAATTACAACTAAAGATTTATTAAAACAACCTCTGTGTAAGTGTAGGGAGAAACTTAGAGCAACAAGAAAACCTAAAAGTCTTCATGAATACCTCAAGTTCCACAAAGCTCAACTGTGCTGTTCACCTGAGTAACTGTCAATTACATAACCTAAGGAGTTCTGCACACATTCCCTGATTGTTCTGCGTTCACCTTTCCGAGTATGAGGTCATATCTTCAGACTATAGAAAAACCTGATTCAGAGAAAATGATTTTTAAAAACTGATCTAGAGAAACTGATCCACATAACATAATTCAAAAAGTTGAACTACAAAAACTGATTTTGATAATGACCCAAAATGTAATGAACAGGAATTGATTTAAAAACTGATTAAAAAAAAGGAACTTATCACCAAAAGTTAGTCCTGAAAACTGGTCCAGAATAACTGATGTAAAAAAATAAAAACAAAATCCAGAGAAAGAATGTGATCCACAAAAAAATTATTTTCCGATCTAGAAAAACTAATTCAGACAAACCGGCCCAGAGAAACTAAATTACAAGGCTGTCTTTTAAGTCTGCACCAAAAACATCTGGGGATTTGATCTAGTTTATTATCTTTTGAATAGGTGTTGACGGTAATATAACTGAAATTTAGGCAGAGCCAGGCCTCCAATAAATTTACATTTTCGTAAAAATGTAGAGCCCTTTTATTCCAAAAAAAAGTTGAAATAACCTCTTCAATGTTTTTTAAAGAAATCTTTGGGCAAATAAAGAGGGATACATTAAAACATGAAAAAGAAATTTGGGCTGTAGTTTCATTTTTACTTTAGTAATTCCTCCAATAAGAAACAGTGGTAAATTGTTCAATCTCTCCAGGTCAGCTTTAAGTTGAGTAAATAAGGGTGAAAATAAGCTGAATGTTGAGAAGACATAGTTTGTGTTAAATATTAACTCTGAAAAATACTTTAAAAAATAGAGGATGAATGGATGTGTCTAGTTATAGATGTATAGATTTGGTCTTAGAAAATATATCTATATATATATATAGATATATAGATATATATTAGAATTGTCTAAGACTGGATGAATAACACAATTTAAATCTTTCCATGAAATCATGAGGTGAACATTAAGGGAGTGGAGGCTCTCAAACAACATATGCAGGAAGCTGGGATTATCAAAATTTGGAACATATACATTGACCAGCACTACCAGATTTTGTAGTAATGTACCGACAAAACAATTAAATATCTGCCATTTTTTACAGAGTTGTCTAATGTATGAGTCAGTCCCAAAGTCTGCTAACATCAGAGTCTGCAAACATTAGAGTCTTCTGACATCAATATCTGCTAACATCAGAATGTGCTAAAAATCAGAGTCTGCTGACAGAGTTTGCAAACATGGGATCCCAACAACATGTTTAAAGTAAAAAAGGTTTGTGAGTGTGTTTACCTGCATGGTGGGTGTTAGCAGCATGATGCAACATAAACTCTGAGGTGTTTGTCAGTGTGAGGAAATCCCTGAACCTGGTTTCAGCCTTGTGATGTAATTTTTCTTTGATTGTGTTTTTCAGGGTCCAGACGTTCAACCCTAACTGATCTTAAAACCTGACAGCAAGGTTATGGTGGAGAAGGATTGAAAATATTCCCTTGAAATGGAAACAGGACTTCCTGTTTTTAAAGTTTAATATTTGACACTTGACATTTTACAAAAGTTAAATATTACAGTCCATAGTTGAGGTGCTAATCAGATACAAATAGAAACCTGTGAAATCAAACGTGTCAAAAATCCAGCATTCCCACCTGAACTGTCTGACCTGGATCATAGAACTGAGTTATTTCCCTGAAAACCAGAGACCAACAAACATGAGTGCCACAATGGAAGCAGCAGACATTGCCGTAGTGGCAGTCTACTTTGTTCTGGTGCTGCTGATAGGTTTCCTTGCCATGTGGAAAGCCAACCGCAGCACAGTCAGTGGATACTTCCTTGCAGATCGCTCCATGAACTGGGCAGCAATTGGCGCATCTCTATTTGTCAGTAACATAGGAAGTGAGCATTTTATTGGCTTGGCTGGATCTGGCGCAGCTACAGGGTTGGGTGTGGCAGCGTGGGAGTTGAACGCTCTCTTGCTGCTTCAGCTGTTGGGCTGGGTTTTCATCCCTGTCTACATCCACTCAGGTGTGTTCACCATGCCAGAGTACCTGTCCAAACGCTACGATAGCAGGAGGTTGAAGTTGTATTTTGCTACATTATCCCTCATCATGTACATCTTCACCAAGTTGTCTGTGGATCTGTACGCTGGCGCTTTGTTCATCCAGGAATCACTGGGGTGGGACCTCTACCTGTCAATTATCCTCCTAATTGCCATGACAGCACTGCTGACAGTCACTGGAGGTCTTGTTGCCGTGATCTACACAGATACTGTCCAGGCTTTCCTCATGATCTCTGGAGCACTGTGTCTGACTGGGATCAGCCTCTTCAAAGTGGGAGGACTGGAAGGTCTGAGTCTGTTACAACTTTAAACCAGTCAAACCATTTAGACCATTTAGTCGATGTCAGCCATTAGAACTAGTTACACCATTTAACCATACCATTTACAGTGCCTTGAAAAGTATTCATACCCCTTGAACTTTTTCACATTTTTGCACTCTACAACCACAAACTTAAAAGTATTTTATTGAGATTTCTTGTCATAGACCAACACAAAGTAGCACATAACTGTGAAGTGAGACGAAAATGATACATGGTTTTCAAAAATTTAAACAAATAAAAATCTGAAAAGTATGGTGTGCGTTTGTATTCAGCGCCCCTGTGTTAATACTTTGTAGAGCCACCTTTCGCTGCAATTACAGCTGCAAGTCTTTTGGGGTATGTCTCTACAAGCTTTGCACATCTAGAGACTGAAATTTTTGCCCATTCTCCTTTGCAAAATAGCTCAAGCTCAGCCAGATTGGATGGAGAGTATCTGTGAACAGCAATTTTCAAGTCTTGCCACAGATGCTCAATGGGACTTTGACTTGACCATTCTTACACATGAATATTCTTTGATGTAAACCATTCCATTGTAGCTCTGGCTGTATGTTCAGGGTCAGTGACCCTCATTTCTCAATCTTGCATAGAACTGAGCGCAGATCTGAGCGCAGGATTCATCCTACGATAGGACACATGTGAGATTTATGAAAGGGTTCGTATCTGACCAATCCCAGCGTACATTGATCAGGTCTTGATAAATGCGGTGGATGAAATCGATCGTTATTAACAAGTTAAAACAATGTTAATGTTTAACAATGTTAAAATGGCGCTCCTGCTCTGTGGCACTGTTTCTGGGCAAAGTTATCAATTAGGCCTATTCACTAAGGACACAACACATTTATTTTATTTTATTTACGTCTTAACCTTTAATGAAATCTGGCTGATTGTGCTTAATGATTTGGTTTGAGGTTTGTTTATCAATTATTTTGAGACAGACATTTGCTGCACTGCAGATCCATACTGACTCAAACTTGTGTACACAATGTCAGACATGTCGTGAGATTTGGTCGTAGCGTACGCTCACGTGTAGATTGATAAATGCCGATCCTCACATCGTAACTTACATACGCAAGGCGTATGTGAGTTCTCTGCCGTACGCAAGCTTGATAAATGAGGGCCAATGTTTTGCTGGAAGTTGAATCTCTTTCCCAGTCTCAAGTCTTTTGCAGCCTCCAACAGGTTTTCTACCAGGATTGCCCTGTATTTGTTTCCCAGTGGGGATGGTTTGTTAAGGGTGATGAGCAGTGTTACTTTTTCGCCACACATAGCGCTTTGCATTCAGGCCAAAAAGTTAAACTTTGGTCTCATCTGACCAGAGCACCTTCTTCCACATGTTTGCTGTGTCCCCTACATGGCTTGTGGCAAACTGCAAATAGGACTTTCTATGTCTTTCTGTCAACAATGGCTTTCTTCTTGCCACTCTTCCATAAAGGCCAGATTTGTGGGGTACACGACTTATAGTTGTCCTATGGACAGATTCTCCCTCCTGAGCTGTCGATTTCTGCAGCTCCTACAGAGTGACCATGGGCCTCTTGGCTGCTTCTCTCACTTGTGCTCTCCTTGCTCGGTCTGTCAGTGTAGGTGGACGGCCATGTCTTGGTAGGTTAGCAGTTGTAGCATACTTCTTCAATTTTTGGATGATGGACAGAACAGTGCTCCTTTAGATGTTCAAAGCTTTGGATATTTTTTATAACTTAACCCTGCTTTAAACTTCACAACTTTTCCCCTGATCTGTCTGGTGAGTTCCTTGGTCTTCATGATGCTCTTTGTTGACTAGTGTTCTCTAACAAAGCACTGAGGCCTTCACAGAACAGTTGTGTTTATGCTGATACTAAATTACACACAGGTGGACTCTATTAACTAATTAGGTGACTTCTGGGGGCAATTGATTGCATTGCATTTTATTTAGGGGTATCAGAGAACAAGGGGCTGAATACAAATGCACACCACACTTTTCAGATCTTTATTTGTTTAATTTTTTTAAAAGCATATATCATTTTCGTTCCACTTCACAATGATGTGCTACTTCATGTTGGTCTATGACAAAAAACTCAATAAAATACTTCTAAGTTTGTGGTTGTAGAGTGACAAAACGTAAAAAGGTTCAAGGGGTATGAATATTTTTTCAAGGTACTGTACACCAATTAAAAAAAAGATTTAACTAGCTAATCACCCAGAACAGCCAAAACAGGATTGTACACTTTGTAACTTCCTGCATCTTTCAGGGCTCAGGACCAAGTACATGGAAGCATCTCCAAACATTACTGCGGTCCTGCTGTCTTCACCAAACCTGACATACTCTGAGACCTGTCACCATCAACTCCATCCACGACCTAACAGCCTGAAGATCCTTAGGGGACCCAGAGACCCAGACTTGCCCTGGCCCGGTTTCTTACTGGGCCAGACTCCTGCCTCTATCTGGTGTGTCCCAATCTATCTAGGTTAATTGTTTCCTTCCCTATAGAATGTTTCCCTTACCTTGCGGACTATTTCCTTGTCATGGCAGTTTCATAGTAATACTAAGGTCTCTGTTGGACTCAAGTACTTGTTTAAAGCAAAGGGTGATGATGATGATAATAATGGTGATAAGTGATGATAATGGTGATGACAATGATGATGGTGATGATGATAATGATTAAGATAGTGATGATAATGATGATGATAGAGAAGGTAATGATTGTTATGACATTGATGATGATAATGGTTATGGGGATTTGATGGTTGAGGTGATGTGATGGTGATGGTGATGTGATGATGATGATGACAATGATTACGGTGATGTGATGGATGTGATGACGATGTGATAACAAAGACGATGATGATAATGATTACGTTGGTGATGTTGATAGTGATTATGAATATGTTGATGATGGTGAGGATGATGATGCTGATGATAATGAGGTAGTTTGCTCTGGTCTGCAATGAGGTGCAGACCAACTGTTCTGAGGCTTAGTGTAGTCTGTTTTTAGAGTCAGGCTTTTGATGAATTCAAGAAGTTTCTGATCTGTGCATACATAGCTAACAACGCTAGCCTTCAGAGTCAGTACTTGCACATGTAACAGTGTGCCTGTGTCTTTGATCTGTCATCTGATACCTGATAAAGTAAGGATGTCTGACCCTCAATGTGTGTTTTAGGTACTGGTGTGCAGATCAGGTGATTGTCCAGAGGGTTCTCGCAGCAAAGAATGTTGCCCATGCCAAAGGCTCAACTATGATGGCAGGCTTCCTGAAAATCCTCCCCATGTTTGTCATCGTCATCCCAGGTAGGCCATCAAACCACCACCTTCATTAACTCAGCCTAGGTTCCTCTAAAAGTATTCTAGAATTTGCTGCAGACACAGTCTCCAGTGTCTTGTTCTTTCTATCTTGGTGTTTGCAAGGATGATCTGTAGGGTCTGACTCTTTTATCTTGGTCCTTGCAGGCATGATCTCCTGGCTCTGACTCTTTATACTTTGAAGGCATGATCATCAGAATCAGACTCTTTTTATCTTGAAATTACATTGGCCTAGTTGTTTAGAAATGACTCTTATCTTGATTTTTGAAAGTCTGATCTCTAAGGTCTGACTTTTTATATCTTGGTCTTTGCAGGCATGATCTCCAGGGTCTTCTTCACAGAAGAGTTGGCATGTATCAGTCCGGCGCACTGCATGGCAGTGTGCGGTTCTGCAGCTGGCTGCACTAATGTGGCGTACCCTCGGCTTGTCATGTCTGTGATGCCAGTTGGTCTCCGTGGTCTCATGATGGCAGTCATGATCGCAGCACTAATGAGTGACCTGGACTCCATCTTTAACTCTGCAAGCACCATCTTCACTCTGGATATTTACAAAATGCTGAGGAAGAATGTCTCATCACAGGAACTGCTGATCGTTGGCCGGTTGTTTGTTCTCTTTGCGGTGGTCATTAGCATTGCCTGGGTGCCTGTCATTATTGAGATGCAGGGGGGGCAGATGTTCTACTACATCCAGGAAGTTGTAGACTACCTGACTCCGCCTATAGCCGCCCTTTTCCTGTTGAGTGTCCTGTGGCAGCGTTGTAATGAAACTGGGGCATTCTGGGGTGGCGTGGTGGGGTTTGTACTTGGAGCCTTCCGCCTGATTTTGGCATTAATTTATCGCGAGCCTCTCTGCGACCAGCCAGACAATCGTCCATCTTTTATTAAGGACGTCCACTTCATGTACGTGGCAGCCATCTTGTTCTGGGTGTCGGCCTTAGTGACTGTAGTGGTGAGTCTGTGCACACCTCCACCCCACAGGGAACAGATTTTAACCACAACCCTGTGGGGGCTTCACCAAAGAAAGAAGCTGAGAACAGCAGAGAACGAGAAACCCAGAGAGGACATGAAGCCTCTGAACCACACACTCCTCAGCGGGAATGCCAGAGACCAGCCCAAAGATCCCAACACCATGGCTAACAGGAACCATCAGGTTCAGAAGAGCCACCGCCCACTAATACCTGAGCCAGGCCAGGAGGAGGGTGTGGGAGAGAGGGTTGATAAGGAGGCGGAGAAGGGGTGTTTTTGGGGGGAAGGAGGGCTGGAGAGTGGCAGGTGTGTCAAGGTGTTCAAGTTCTGTGGTTTTCAGAAGAAACCATCCAAAATCCAGGTCCTGACAGTGGAGGAGCAGCAGAAGCTGGTGGACAAACTCCTATATGAACCTCCTTGCACCCGCATTATCCTGGTAACAGGTCTGTTTGTCATCTGCTCCATTGGGGTCTTTATGTTTGTGTACTTCTCAATCTAAGCGCTGTCTGAGAGCAGCACAGTCTGTAAGTGAGCCGTCACTAACATTGATATCCGGACTAACATTCTGACAGAGCCCGGTGAACAGGAAACTGCTGTTTGTCCTCAGTTAAATGTGCTTTTTTAAATTAAAAGTAGCTTTTTTTCTAATGCAGGGTTTAAAGGAAAATCTATCAGGAAGAACAACAGGTTTGAATTAAAAGAAGAAAATAAGATGAACATTTTATTAGTTTTCAACCATTTTTGTTAGTTTTCTGTCAAACAAGATTTTATTTTATGCTTTTATTTCTAATATTTTTTTCATTGCTTTTTTTTTAAACTCTTTTTTGTCTGTTTTTGATATTTGTTGTCAGTTTAATTGTTTTTTTTATAGTTCTTTTTCAGTTTTCAATATTTTAGTTCATTTCCTTCAGTTTTCAATTGTTTCAGAAAGTAACATTTTTCTCTCTGTTTCTCGAGTCTTTGTTTATTAATTCTGTTAAAGGTGACGCTGAGGCTCAGAGGGGCAAGGGGCAGAGTGTATCTGTGTTTGGTGGATTTAAAGCTTCCATTAAAAGACAAAAGAGCCTCAGTTACATCCAGGTGAGATCTGTCAATGGCTTCATAGCTCATCCACAGGTGCAGATGGTCCTCAGGTGTAGATGATCCTCAGCTGGAATAGTCCATAAATGTATACGGTCTTCAGGTGTAGGTCATCGACGGGTGTAGATGGTCCTCAAATGAAGTTTATCCTCAGGAGTAGATGGTCCTCAGGTGGAGGTCATCTTTAGGTGGAGATGGTCCTCAGGTGTATGTCATCCTCAGGTGTAGATAATTCTCAGATGTAGATGGTCCTTAGGTGTAGATGATCCTCAGGTGTAGATGGTCCTCACGTGTAGATAATTCTCAGGTGTAGATGGTTCTTAGGTGTAGATCATCCTCAGGTGTAGATGGTCCTCACGTGTAGATAATTCTCAGGTGTAGATGGTTCTTAGGTGTAGATCATCCTCAGGTGTAGATGGTCCTCACGTGTAGATAATTCTCAGATGTAGATGGTCCTTAGGTGTAGATCATCCTCTGGTGTAGATAGTCCTCACATGTAGATAATTCTCAGGTGTAGATGGTTCTTAGGTGTAGATCATCCTCAGGTGTAGATGGTCCTCGGGTGTAGTAGTTTTCCTTTTACTGTGGGGGTTTACTTTGAATCTGTATACATCTAGTATGAACAATAAACATTGTTTCTTTGCATTTTTGTTGTAGATGTGCAAAAGCAGAAATTAGGAGCTTTTTTGTGTCTGTCTCCCACTCCTTGCATGTTCACAATCTGAGCAAATCCTTTAGCGCTAACTGGTCATACTAGTTGCTCTGGTCAGATTAAAGACCTCTCCAGGATCTGAACAACAGGGTAACGATGTGTTTAGAGTCAATAACTGAGCATAACTGAGCAGACTCACAATTAACACTGAGATTTATCAGAAAATCTTTTCATTATTCAAGTTTTCATCACTGCAGAAGATGAAAATGGCCATAGATTTTTCTTTTTTTAATGCACATTTTTATCCCATGATAACGACTTATCTTGTTATCTCAACATAACAAACATCATTTTATTGTAATTTATATGTTCAAAAAAATTCAAAAGGGGGGAAAATGTTAAAGAAAGGAGGTTTTAAAAGCTTTGAAATCTGTAAAACTTTAATTGAGTTATTTTTAATCAATTAGACACAACACACAGTTGAGAATTCCTAAAGTAGGATCCATACACACGTACATACACCAAAGATAGTATGACAGTCAGATATGCCAGCAGTCATTTTTCCACACCCATATCAATCACACCACAGATTGACTGACTGACTTGGGGGGGGGGGGGGGGGGGGGGGTCAAGTGCCCAAGGACACTTCTGTTTGTGGACAGCAGGACCAAGGATCTAGGATTAAACCTCCGCCCTTTCAACTGGAGGCTGACTGACTCTACCTCTGAGCCTCAGTTGGCCCTATGGTAAAGCAAGTTGCCTCTAAAGTTTAAGGTTGTGGGTTTGATGCCAGATCCTGCAGCACCCTGCTATCTTTAAGGGTGCAGACAGTGACCCCTTACCCTCAACCCCCACACTGTGTGAGCAAGTGTGGGGGTCAAGGGTCAGTTGGCCCAATGCTCAGCTCCTCGGCTATTACTGTGAATGCGGTGTGTTTAAGAGCTCTGAGTTGTTGGAATACAAGAAACAGAGCTCCAAAAAAACAATGATCAAACGTTTGGAAAAGTGACAAGCAGACATGTCAGCTCTTGTTTAGTGACATCGAAAACACCACACACTTAAAGGAAAGTTACTGACAGGAGAGGAAAGTTACTGACACACACATAAAAACAGAGCGAGAGAGTGTGTGTGTGTATGTGTGTGTCTTAGAGATACACTGTCAAGAAGCAGCACACAGGTTGGTTCATCTTAATTGTCTTTTAATGTTCTTTAAATGGACACCCCTTGTATAATCCAAATTCATCCTGCTGAGATGTAAAACACATGCACCCTCCTGCATTAGTATAACTCCCATTGCTGCAGACAGGACAGACGGGTAAAATAAGGAAAATACAGGGGGGAAAGGGTTAATACAGGTGAGTCATACACTGTAGACATGTCTCAGCATTGGGATGGGGTCTCACCTAGAAATTGCTTACTGTCAAAGGTGGGAGGTTTCACTCAGACATATGTCAGTATCAGATATAAGGTCACACCTCAACATTTTTCTGTGCTGGAGGTGTTGGGTCTCATTTGGACATGTCTCAGTACCTGAGGTGTGGGGTCCTTCCTGGACATGTGTTAGTATCAGAGGAGTGGGATCCCATGTGAATTTGTCCCAGTGTTGGTTATATTGGTTCTCACCTGGACATGTCTTAGTATCAGAGGTGTGGGGGTCTTACCCAGATATGTCTCAGTTTTAGAAGTGTGGGGTCCTACCTAAACATGTCTCATTGTTTAAGCTGTAGGGTCTCATCTGGACATCTCTCAGTATTACAGGTGTGGGATCTTACCTAAACATGTTTCATTGTTTGAGCTGTAGGGTCCTTCATCCCTGAAATCTCTCAGTATCAAAAGTGTGGGGTGTCACCTTGACATGTCTCAGTATTAGAGATGTATGTTCCTACCTGAACATGTCTCAGTTTTGCAGGTGTGGGGTGTTGCCTTGAAATGTCTCAGTATCAGATGTGTGCGGTCTCCCTTGGACATATCTATGTGAGGTGTGGGATCTTATCCGGATATGTCTCAGTGTTGAAGGTTTGGCATCCCTCCTGGACATGTCTTGAGGTAGTAGGTGTGGGGTCTCACTTGGACGTAACTCAGAGTCTGAAGTGTGGGGACTCACCTGGACTTGTCTTGGTTCCAGAGGAATTAGATCAGATTAGAGGGTGTTACCTGGATGTTAGATTAACTCCGTTCAGAACCGAGTCTGTGTCAGTCTACACACAGATAATCCATGTATAAATTAAGCCCTATTTCAGAATAGGCATGTTATGTTAGTCTCAGTCCTCACATCACTGTCTGCTCCCCCCTCACTGGAACACGGACACGCCTGATCTGCTGCACATAGTTGAGACCGCCACACATCAATTACAGACTGCTGATGGCCTGTACCTGCCTGCCAGTTTCATTCATATGATAGATAATCACACCACTGATAGTCAAGGTCTCTTTTATTACTTTATGTATTTATTCTGAGAAGAGAAAACTCAGGGCTTTGTCAGCCTCAGTCTGTGCACACAGCGGCACTTACAATACTAGAGAAAAAATATACAATAAACAGGGACCTTCAGACATGGGCGGAGCTCCAGCAGGGAATTGATGACATTAACACAATAATATCTGCAAAATAAATAGTTATTAACAAACTCGAAAAAAAATGTTTAAAGCTTCCTTTTCAAAAATCACTTTCTTTCTGAGTTTCAGTCGTTTTTCCATTCATTTTAATGTTCTTTTTTTTTTTACCCGAGGTTTCGCGATAGAACGAGCTGACATCAGCCGAGTTTATACGAAGCCGACATCAGCCGAATCCTCACGAAGCCGACATCAGCCGACTTCACACGAAGTAGCAGCCTCGTAGGTAAAACAGGGGAGTACAGCATCACGCAGAATTGAAGCTGAGCATTTTCAGAAGTTTAGTCAAACCGTTGATCTATCAAAGTAACGGTCACCGGATATCACCACGGCAACGGGACCGAGGTTGCGCCAAACTACCATCACATCAACAGCCGGCAAACAAAGAGCTCCTTTTTCTAACGACATCATTTTTCCTCCGTATTCCCTCGTTATGAGTCATGTGGCCGTCGAAAATGTTCACGGTCTCGAGCAGCAGGTAAGCCTTTATTCATCTCTCCGTGCATTACTGCAGCATCGTTTGAAAAGAGTGTTATAACGGTAGGGAGGAAGGTTAGCCTGTCAGCTAGTCAAGTGCTAAAGGGATGCTATCGGGCTAGCCAGTGTTTGGTGCGCATGGATGCTGCATTCAGGTGCTCATCGGATGCTCGGAGCGTGGTGATCTCTACACATAACATTGACTATATGTTATCGCTATGAACTACTGTAGGCCAGTTTGAGCACAGCAGCGAACAGAGATTGCTTTATATCACTGTGACCTAAAAGTGTCTCCTGTTTGGTCCACATCTTTGGCTGCTCAGTTTCCATCCACTGAAAATTTAAATACTCTCAGTTCGGGAATGCAAAGACAGAAATTGTCTTGTTAGTTGTTCCGACCTTTAGGGTTTTCATGAAGTCATCCAGCCAGACCAAATTTTTCCGATTATCGCGCCGTCACGTGAATGCGGGCGGACTGTCCAGTCACGTGACTAGCAGCGGCTGCAGAGGAGCTGGTAGAGACCAAAGACTGTATATACATGGTAGAGACAGTTTCAGTAAATCTAGCTTCAGCAAATAAGAATGACATAGTATCTAAATAAAAAAATAACCATCGACAAAACAGTTAAAATATAATTCCGTTGATTGCCAGTGTTAGAATAGACTTCATATACACAGTATCAGTTGTTACAGAGCTGTAGTTGGCCGCCGGCTCTGCAATGTAAACAAAAGGAGTGCTCCTATGAAGTGTTGACTGCACTGGTCCTGCAGATACAGCGATAAAATGGAGGTGCGCGGGGCTGACCCGAAAACAGTGCGGGGTTTAATGGTCTGGCACACATCAAACACACCAGTGTGTGTATCTTTCTGCGTCACCAAACGCTCTCTGTGTGTGTGTGTGTGTGTGTGTGTGTGTGTGTGTGTGTGTGTGTGTGTGTGTGTGTGCGTGCGCGCGCGCGCGCATGCTAACAGAGCACTGTTTGTTCCCAATGACTGTAAAGGTAACTCAAAAATGAAATAAAGCCCTGTAAGTGGTTGAAAAATGTGCCTCGTGAACCCGTCAGACATTTCTTCCAACATCTTAAGTATTTTTCAGGCTTTGGGCTTGTTGAGTCTGATTTAGCATTTTCACATCATTTACAGTTTGTTAGGTCTGTTCTCATATAGTGTAGAGGCTAAACATTATAAAGATAGAAAAACTTGTACTAGAAACCTGGCCATCTTTATCAGAAACCTGTTTATCTGTACCAGAAACCTTATCACCCGTACCATCTCCTCGAAACTATCAAGGGTTTTCGCCGAGCACCAAAGTGGGCAGAATTTCTTTATTTTGCTTCTTTATGGTGTTTAAATCCCTGGTCAAAGCTCATTACTGATTAGGCATTTACAGCAAATGATGGATTGATTATCTGGTCAGACAAATAACCCACTGTGATGGCTTGGGTTAGATAGTTTGATTATTCTCTGTGAAGGTTTGAGTTGGTAGGTTTAATTATAATGTGTGCAGGTTTGGTTGGTTTGATACTAGTATGTGCATGTTAGGGTAAATTATTGTGGTTATTCTCTGTGAAGGATTGGGTTACTTAGCCTGATAATAACGTGAAAGTTTGGGTTTAACAGTTAAATTATAATATGTGATGATTTGGGGTAGTAAGTTTGGTTATACACTGTCAAGTTTTGGGTTAGTTGGTCTAGAAACCTTTGCTGAAGATTTTGTTTAGTAAATCTAGTAACTCCTTGGTGAAGTATTAGAAAGCTTGGTAATACTCTGTGATGGTTTTGGTAAGTCCATTTGGTAATACCCTAAAGTTTAGGGTAAGTCAGTATGGTTTTGGGTTAGTTAGCAAACCAATACTCTGTAAGTTAGTTTGGTTGCACTGTTTTTGGTGTCTCAGTGAAATCAAACAGGTAACACAGTGTTTGCTCACCTTAAACCAACAGGTGAAGTACTCAACACAGGAAATATAATTATAACACACTTCTGGTTTATCCGTGTTCTCTCACTGTGTCTGTATGGTCTGTCGTATGTGTGTGTGTGTGTGTTTTTGTGTCTATGTGTGTGTGTTTCTTGTGATGTGTGTGTTTGTGTAGCTCGCTGTCCTGGACTTGAGTGCAGCAGACGGGACAGGTGGAGGGACAAACCGTAAGCAGACCGTGTATTACGCACCTGTGCATATGCATACACACACACACACACACACACACACACACACACACACACACACACCTGCAGAAATAGTGAAAATTTGATCCAGTCTGAGGGTTTTTTTTTTATCAGTCGGTCATTCAGAGAGAAGAGAGCTGCTCTGTAGTCTGAATCACCACAGATTAAAGTTTGAATACACAAACATAACAGACACTGTTTGATACACTCTGTGTGTTTGCATGTTTTTTTATCAGAACAATTTAACCACAGCAGAGAGAGTGTGTGTTTATACAGGGGCTTAAATGAAACTATAGACACAGAGTTCGAGTCTGTCTGAGTGACTGATGGTGGACTCTCTCTCCCATCCCCTCCCTCCTCCTCCCCTCGTTTGTCTGTCTGTAGGACGGTACATCCCTCCCCATTTACGGAACAAAGACGCTCTTAAAAATGGTGAGTCCAATCCTAACTCTGTCTGTGATCCTAACCCCTGCATTTGACCCAGCCTTTGGTCCCAGCCTTAATCCCACAGGATGTGCGAATGTCGCGTTTCATCAACGTTCCGTACTATGCAGCAAATACGTACATTTCCATTCTGATCAATGCTGCGTGTTACACAGGAAGCGTTGAAGCAGGTCTCAGAGCTCTGTCCCAAAAGCATCTCTAAACGCTGCTCCACCAACAACACTTGTTGAGTCTATCGTAAATGGAGCACGCACCCAGCACGTGTCAAGCTGAACAGAAAAGACCGACCTTGACAGAAAGTCAAGCACAGGACTGGCATATGTCATCCAGGAAATTTTCAAAATAAAGCACCACATACAGACTGTTTATCAGGTGGTACTGATGAGAAATCCTTCTTGGTAGTGGATTTATTGTCAACACAGAACATTTCTAGGCCTATCCTCGATCCATGTCACCCATAGCAGGACTTTCAGCGGCTAATTATGTCTCCAGTCAAGAGCACAGCAAAGTGGAACAGAGTTTACCAAACACGAGTAAACCTGCAATACTTAAATTCACGATGCTTGTTCCCAGAGGTAGAAGCACAACAGTCACAGAATGATATCCAAATTAGACAGAAATGGACCACTGAAAGGCAAAGCAACCTGTTGTGATTCTGTTTTTGTCTGACACCAGCTGCTCCAGACTTAACATGCTTTAAGTGAGCAAGGACTTGCGCAGTAGCTAGGCTGATGGTATGCAACAAACACACATCCTGTGGGTTTTAGGTCTAACCCTTTCTTTGACTCGAACTCTGTCTTTAACCCTACCCTCCATCCCCCAGACTTGGTCTCTGGCCCTTACTTTGTCCCTGTTTTGATGAAATCCCCTGAGGATGGAGTTAAAGAGGCTGATCAGACTGTTAGAGTATTCTCACCTGAGTTACCTGTGTTTGAATCTATGTAACACTACGGTAACTGAAGTCAGTGTGAAGGAGACAGCAGCTCAACTCTATGTTTGTGTGTGTGTGTGTGTGTGTGTGAGTGAAAGAGAGAGAGAGAGAAAGAGGGAGACTGTGTGTGTAGGAATAGCGTGTTACCTGAGTGTACCTGTTTTTACCTGCTCTTGTTTGAGGTACACCTGTACTAAAGGTTTGTGTCTGTTCAGCAGGAAATGCCTTTGCTGCAGGTCGACCTGGCGGCTTTACCATCGCTCCCAACACTGCCTGTGAGTCTGTCTTTGATTGGTTGTTCTCTGCAGCCTGTTTAAACCAGTTTGATGCTCATATGCACACACCTGCTGTCACCTGTTGACAGAGGACAGGTGAGCTCTCTGGTCTGATCTGCAGGTGATGGTGCTTTCAGGTGTTAACGGGACCATAAACAGTGAGCATGATAGTGGTCTGAAAGTTTAGGCCCCTGTCAGTATCTGTGTCATCCATCAGAGAAATTACCTGTCAGACTGATGTTACACATGCTCTCCTTCCAGTGCAGCAAAAATGTCAGATCAAAATCAGGAAAAATTGTCTGTAAAAAACAAACAAAAACCTCTGCCCATCACCTGTCTGTCACTTCTTGATCACCTGTTAATCATTCCACTGTCATGCAGATGGCTGGGATGGCGGACGGAACAACTTTGTTAATGGTTACCACGACAATCGCATGACTGGCGCGAACTCCTTCAATCGGGGCCCACCCCGAATGGAGCGTGGCCGAGGAAACATTGGAGGTTACCGCGGCAACAGAGGTGGAGCCTTTAATCCCATTAACCCGACTCAGACAATGGGCTTCACAGGATATGAAAACAAAGGTGGGTCAAGTTTTTATGAAAGTTAAGGAGCAAAAACTAACTTAAACTTTTTTTAAAACACAGCACACATTGTTTCTCTGGGGCGCTTTGACTGACTCCTCTCATTGTACTATTCATCTCTGATTGGTTAATTCAAACAGACGCTGCAGCCTGGAGCACAAACAAAGAGGTTTACAGCAGCTTCAGCAACAGCAGAGGAAAACCAGCTTTCTACAATGACAGAGGAAACAACAACAGCAACAGAGGAGGGGGCCGGTAAGAGAGAAAGACTGTCAGACTGACTGACTGACTGACTAATGTTGTGTTACACCAAGTGAGAACAGAATAAGTTTCTCACTTTACTTATATCTGGACACAAGAAAGTTGTGTGTTTATCCACTGAGTTTACATAATTTGTTTGTGTAATTCACTCAAGTCGCTCGTCTGATCAAGTCTTTGCCTTGACTTAACATGTAATTCACTCACCGGAATGATTTTATTCACACTGTAACAGTCTGACTGACTGGGTGTCTGACTGAGTGACTACCTGACTGTTTGAGACACTGAGTGAGAGTCTGACTGACTGGTCTTCTGTTTAAAGCTAATGGTTTATGAGCATAACAAGATGTATTCTCCAATGTTTACACCAGACTTGTACCTCTGTCTCTTTCTTCCTTCCTTTCTATTGCTCTCCCTCCCTTTTCTGCTTTCTCTCTGTCTATCTGTCTCTGTCTTTTTACTTTGTCTGTCTGTGTCACCCCTCCCCCCCTGTCTGTCTCTGCTTGCTCTCAGATTCGATCATGGGGGGTTTGGAGGAGGTGTTGGTGGAGGAAGCAGCCGCTGGGTGGAGGAGACAAGAGACGACGGTGATTGGTCCAAACCGACTCCCCGAAATGAGCGACTTGAACAGTGAGGATAGAATTATTCTGGTATTACCTGGTTCAGTCTAGTTCAATCTGGTTTAAACCACTTTAATCCAATTGAATTTGGTTTAAAAAAGTTTGAATCTGGTTGTATCTAGTTTATCATGATTTATCTGGTTGAATCTGCTTTGAAGTGTGAAAAACTGGGTGTATGGATTTTCAAGTTTTTTAATCTGGTTGAATCTGATTTTCAATATTCTGGTAAAAGGTTTTAAAGTTTCAATGTGTCTTACAGTGTTTTAATCTGAGTTAAAGATGTTAAATTTTTTTTTCTGTTTTATGTGGTTTCTAAATGTTGAAATCTGCTTGAATCTTAATGTGTTTTAATCTGCTTGAGTGTGGTTTTAAAAGTTTGAACGTGGTTTGATCTAGTTTTAAGAGTTTTGACCTGGTTAAATCCAGAGTTAAGTTTTTCAGTCTTGTTGAATTTGGTTTTAGGTGTAAAAATATCCTTTACAGAATGATGTGGGTTTTTTATGCAGTGGAGCCTGGGGGGTCAAAGGTCACGGGCATCAATGTTGTTTTTGGGCCCTGCTACTCAGGTGCAGAGAGTTCTCTGATGCTCTGAATCTTTTGATGGATTTATGGACTGGAGATGGTTAAATCCCAAAATTCCTGCAGTTGTTTGATGAGAAATGTTCACAAACTATTGGACTGTTTGCTCACACAGTTGTTGACAAAGTGGTGAACCTAGCCCCATCTTTGCTTGTGGAGGACGGAGCCTTTCAGGGATACTCCTTTTATGCGCAGTCATGACTAGGGTTACAAAATTGGAAACTTTCCGTGGGAATTAACGGGATTAATGGAAATAATCTGGAAATTTACAAAATTGAATGGTGGCCCTCAACAAGGAACTTAAATATAGTTGGCGGAAAATATATTGTAGCATAATCTTGGCTAAAACAACCAGATTTAATGCAAGTACACTCCTTAATCACATGCACACAGCACACTGCTTGCTTTAGGGCTATTGACGCCACACACCCCTGCATGCACTGTGCATTCCTCCATCACATGCACAGATGAAGATGAAGGAAAATTATTCACATTTATGTTTGGATATGATACAGTTTGTTTAAATTACCCCCAATTTCCAGTTTATTCCCATAAATTCCCAATGATTCCCATAATTCCAATGGAAAGTTTCCAATTTGGAATATTTCCAAAATTCCCAAGCTTAACTTCCCATGGAAAGTTTCTGGAAATTTACCGAAAATTTTCTACCCCTTTGCAACCTTAGTCATGACCCTCACCTGTTTCCAATAAAACCTGTTCACCTGTGGAATGATCCAGATAGGTGTTTTTGAGGGAAGTCCTCAGTTTTCCCAGACTTTCGTTGCCCCGTCCCAACTTTTTAGGAATGTGATGCAGTATCAAGGTTAAAATGAGTGAATATGTACAAAAAACAATCACGTTTATCAGTTTAAAACTACAAGACAAACTTAAAACCCAGGTCTGTTAGTCTGTTTTGTATGACACTAGTGTGTGTGTCTTTCAGTGAGCTGTTCTCTGGAAGCAATACGGGGATCAACTTTGAGAAATACGACGACATTCCTGTTGAGGCCACAGGACAAAACTGTCCTCACCACATTGAGAGTGTGAGAGCAACACTCAGCACTCAGTAAATGATACCACACTCACATGAATACAAATAAAAGTTCTGTGTGTGTGTGTGTGTGTGTAGTTCCAGGATGTGGACATGGGCGAGATCATCATGGGGAACATTGCTCTGAGTCGCTACACCAGACCAACTCCTGTTCAGAAATACGCCATCCCAATCGTCAAGTCAAAGAGAGACCTGATGGCCTGCGCTCAGACAGGTAAAGTGTGAAGTAGTGCATTCACAACAAGTGTGAGTTAAATTTGTTGTGTGAATTGCAAGTAAAGTCGATGCATGTACTACTCAGGCGGCGTGAATGAGACAGAGTAATAAGGACGCTTGATGTGTGTGTGTGTGTGTGTGTCTGTGCAGGTTCTGGAAAAACTGCAGCGTTCTTGCTGCCCATCCTCAGCCAGATTTACACTGATGGACCAGGAGAGGCTCTAAATGCAGCCAAAACCTCTGGACAGGTAGACTGTCACCTGTTCATAAATCAGTACTGTAGTATAAAGACAGAGGGACTTTGTGTCTGTTTTTCCTCTTGTTTAAAATCTTTGTTGTGTTTTTGTGTCAAAGGACAATGGGAAATATGGACGCCGTAAGCAGTACCCTATAGCTCTGGTGTTAGCTCCAACCAGAGAGCTGGCTCTGCAGATCTACGACGAGGCCAGAAAGGTATACGATAACTCATACTTCTTACCTTTTTTTGTGTAACTGTATGTCAATATTATTGTTCTATAACTCTAAATTATTATTCTTTAACTGAGTTAGTCTTCTGTAACTCTGGATATGTTTTTTAACTCTGACTTACTTTTCTTAAACTTAATTCCTCAATAACTGTAAATTATTTTTGTTTTACTGTAAATTATTCTTTTATTACTCACAATGACACTTATTTATCTCTTCTTTTACTCAAAATTCTTCTCTCACTCGAAGTTATTCTTCTAAAGCTTTAAATTCTTCTTTAACTTTAAACCATTCTTCTTGAACTCTTAAGTACTCTTCTATGACCTTGAATTATTCTTCTGTAACTCACAATTACTCTTTAATTCTTCTCTAACTCTAAATCATTCTTATTTATCTTTAAATTGATATTCTATAACTCTTAATTATTATTCTTTTACTCAAAATCTTTTCTGTTTAACTCTTAATTACTCTTCTCTAACTCAATCATTATTCTGTAAGTCTCATGTATTCTTCCATGAGCTTTTAATTATTCTTCTATAACTCTAAATTTAGTAGCTTTTAATCACCCTTCTATTCTTCTCAATCATATTTTATATCTAAATTCTTTTTATTTAACTCTTGGTCATTCTTTTTTAACTGTTATTATTCTTTAACTCTAAATTGACCTTCCTGAACTCTTACTTATACTTAAGTAACTGCTATATGTTCTTTGTAACTCTAAATTGTTCTTAAATAATTGTATATCATTTGTCTTTAACCCTAAATTATTTCTCTATACCTCTTTATTGTTTTTCTTAAACTCTAAATCATTCCCAAACTCGTTTTTGTTTTTCTTTAACCTTCTATTTTTGTTTCTGACTTTGTGTCTGCTGTCAGTTCTCGTATCAGTCCAGAGTGCGACCCTGTGTGGTGTATGGAGGAGCAGACATTGGGCAGCAGATTAGAGACCTCGAGCGAGGCTGCCATCTGCTGGTAGCCACACCGGGACGCCTGGTGGACATGATGGAGAGAGGCAAGATTGGACTGGACTACTGCAAGTAAGGAAAACACACATACCCAGGTGTATATACAGTGTGATCAGTTCTAGTCTGAAATACCGTGTCTTTCCCTTTTTGTAAGAATAAGAATAAGAACAACTTTATTTATCCCCATTGGGAAATTAAATATCAATGTTTGTGTTTGTGTCTGTGAAGTTACCTGGTCCTGGACGAGGCAGACCGAATGTTGGACATGGGGTTTGAGCCTCAGATCAGACGTATTGTGGAACAGGACACCATGCCACACAAAGGAATCAGGCAGACCATGATGTTCAGCGCCACCTTCCCCAAAGAAATCCAGGTACACTGGTACACACACCTCACCTGTGATCCAGGTACACACACTCTGAGACTGTATCAGCTGTGATCAAGTGTTTAATTTGTCACAGGTTTACTCACCTGTTTGTCTTTAAGTTGATTGTCTTTACAAAATGCTGACAGTTTAAATGTCTTACATCCTTCCCTCTAATGTTCTCACTTGTTCTCACTTCTCACAAACCCAGAATACAAAAACTCAGATTAAGTTAACTCAGGTTAAATAAACTCCAATTGATTAAACAGATTAAATAAACCCAGTTTTAATAAACTCAAATTAGATTAGCTCAGGTTTGATAAGTGAAAATCTGCATCTCTTATCCTGTTATTTAAACTCTGTTATCTCCCACCCTCAGATCCTGGCCCGGGACTTCCTGGAGGAATATATCTTTCTGGCGGTAGGCAGAGTGGGGTCTACCTCCGAGAACATCACCCAGAAGGTGGTGTGGGTGGAGGAGAGTGATAAGAGGTCCTTCCTGCTTGACCTGCTAAGTGCTACAGGTGTGGGGAGGGCAGGTTCACCTAGGGGTTTACCATTAAGTGAGATGAGCACAGCCAATTTTTCTGCGAGTGAGCCACTGAGGCCCAAAACCCACAGGATGCGTCAGAGCTCCATCTCGGCTATGTTTCTGCTCCGTCTCGACCTGCTTCTCTGCGCTTCTAACAGGCGTCAATTTCAACAGAGCAGATAGCATTAAACAGGAAGTCAAGCACAAGCAGGTTAAGTGAATTTCCAAAATAAAACACCATATGCGAACTCCTGACTGTTTATAAGATTGTACAGTTGAGAAATACCTCCTGGTTATGGATTTATCATGAACAAAGAACCCAATGGCCTATCCCTGATCCATGTGGCGCACAACAGGACTTCTATCTGTCTGAAGGTAACAGCACAGTAAAGTGGAACATAGTTGACTTTGCTAAACACAAGAAAACCTGCAAAAAATCTCCACTGTAAAGTCACAGCAGAAGTACAACAATCACAGAATAAAATCCAAAATAGCAGGAAATTGATCACAGAAAGGCAAAGCACACTGTTGTGACTGTGTTGTTTCCTGTATACTGACTCCAGCTGACCGGGGCTACTCTATGCTGCTGCTATGCTCAAAACATGTTCCCAGCGGCTGTGACCAAACATGCCCAACAGGGATCCTGTGGGTTTTCAGCATTAGTTTGAAGCTGCAGAAATCCTGGCTGTACTGAAGCTGATTAAGAATTTTCTTTCCTAAACTCTCTTTCAAACTGAGCGTGCTCAAGTATAGAGGGCAATGATCAGTACACTAGAATAGAAAATTAATTGTGACTGTTCTCAGTCTTTTTTGTCATTAAATGTCTCCACAAACTCTCTTGTGGCATTGGCTGATGATCTGGACCACCACAGAGAACTATTATAATGAAATGATCAATCAATCAATCAAATTTTATTTATATAGCGCCAATTCACAACAGTTGTCATCTCAAGACGCTTTTCAAGGAACAAGAGCAGGTCTAGACCACGCTCATTGTTTGATGATCAAGAACCAACCTAAGATGGGTTTTGGCCCATCTCAACTAACATGAGTAACAGTGGCAAGGAAAAACTTCCTTTTAACAGGCAGAAACCTTGGGCAGGACCAGCCTCATGTTAGACAGCCACCATGCTGCTGCTGGGTTGGGGAGGAATGTAGAGTGAAGAGGGAGAGAGAGAGAACAAGATAAGGGAAGGCGAGAGAGAATGAGTAAGGAGAGGGAGTGGGAGGGAAAGAGAGTAGAGAACGAGGGCGAGAGAGAGACAGGGGGCAGCAGAAACAACAGCAACAACAACAACAGCTCATGTAATGGTGAAGAAAAAAGAGTTCAGTTTACAGGGTTAGGTGTGATCAAATGATCAAAAGCTTTATAGTTTACTCAGAGCTAAAACTCAGAGTGGCACCTGGTCCGGACCAAGTGCATTTCAGAACCAGGTGCCTGACAGAACATCACTGTCTGCAGATTCTCACTTCATGGTTGACACCCTAGCATTGGGTGAATTACATGTACACTCGCACCCTCACATACACACACACTAAAACACTCGTGCAGACTCTCAGGTGTGGTAAAATGTTCACCTGTTGGTGGTTTGGTTTTATTTGAAGTCATCCCCACTGAGGTTCAGGACTCCTCTGGAGACGCCTTAGAGAAACCGGGTAAGACGGTCAGAATATGTTTATGTTTTCATCATTCTGCCTGCTCCATTTCCGCACACACACTCAAATACACACACACACACATTGACTCAATGTATTTCGGTGCTTCTGTGATTGATAGGGATGGAATGTGTTTTTATTTGTGGTTCAGGTTTTGCCTGGCTGTCCTCAGACCTGCCTGCTTCATTCCTGTTTTATTTTTTGTTTTTTTGTGTGTGTTTGTTCAAAGTTTCATTTGGATTAAAATCTCAGGATTAGGCTGTCCGTCTTTATCTCCTTCCAGCTGCCTGCTTGCCTCTGCTCAATGCAAACTGTGCTGGATGTTTCAAGTGCATGTGATAAATTGCACTGTGTGTCTCACACACACACACAGACACACACACACAGACACACACACACACACACACACACACAGCCAGGCCCACTTCTTCCTATTATCATTGTTTATACAGTCTGGTGTGTCTGATGGTTCTTACTGAACTTAGTGTTTTGGTCAGTTCTTTGTCAAACTGATATAAGAGTGTCCTGCTGCTGTGTCCAGCAGAGGGCAGCTTTCTGAAGGTGTGTCAGGTGTGTTTTAACCATAGACTGTATATAGAATAGGCGCCGTCAGTCTCCTCGCTGGGTGAAGCCACTCAGAGAACAGCACCCTCTGGTGATGGGCTGCAGTATAGGTTATAAATCCCGCCTCCTCCAGCAATCCCTATGGAGCTGTGGACAAACTTCAGAAATTAATTACACCGAATATAAATATTTTTCCCCCCTGGTTGAGATGTTGACATGTGGTCATTGTACGACTGGTTTGTGCTCAAGTCCTCCTCTTTTTTTCTGTGCAGCTCCAATTTTAAAAGTAATTAGGGGGTAAATTTTTTCTATGATTAACACGTGATACAGCCTATGGGTGTACGAAGATTGCGTAGCTCACCTGGGGGATACGCTGTTTGAGCCGAGCGTCATCACAGCGACTCTCAGCGTCTCTTTCGCCAAATGCGTACAATGCTACAAGGCCACAAAGTGGAGAACAAACCTGGATATACCAAGAGCTTTTGGCTTCAAGGCCGCATACTGGTGGAATGCAGAGCCAAGTTGTCCATAGTATATACAGTCTATGGTTTTAACACACCCTTTTTCCTACATTAGATGACTATCAGCATGGCTCCTGCTCAAACTTTTACAGTTGAATCACACCTTTAAAAACACTCTGCGTCACCTAAAGTGTGCGCTGTATCTTTGATATGTTCTCAGATTTACTGACTCAACACTGCTATCTAGTGTGTATGTGTGTGTTTCTGCATATTGTCACTATTATCCCTCTATTTCCACAGAGAGGGTTAGAAATACCATGTTACATCTGATAATCAAACCAATCACACAGATCTCTGCAGGTTCACTCACGTGTGTTTTTTTTTTCTCTCCTCCTCAGGTAAAGACTCTCTCACTCTGGTGTTTGTTGAGACTAAGAAAGGAGCGGATGCCCTGGAGGACTTCCTGTACCGTGAGGGTTATGCCTGCACCAGTATCCATGGAGACCGTTCCCAGAGGGACAGGGAGGAGGCGCTGAGCCAGTTCAGATCCGGGAAATGTCCAATACTGGTGGCCACAGCGGTCAGTGAAGATCCAACTCTGACTCTCACTCATATAATAATCATTACAAAGTACTGCTACTAATAATTAACACACTGCTATGATTTATATGTATCGCTGCTGTCAGAATAAACTGAGCCTATGCTCTAACTATGTTTGTATATAAACACACTGATATACACTCACCGGCCACTTTATTAGGTACACCATGCTAGTAACGGGTTGGACCCCCTTTTGCCTTCAGAACTGCCTCAACTCTTCGTGGCATAGATTCAACAAGGTGCTGGAAGCATTCCTCAGAGAGCTTGGTCCATATTGACATGATGGCATCACACAGTTGCCACAAATTTGTCGGCTGCACATCCATGATGCGAATCTCCCGTTCCACCACATCCCAAAGATGCTCTATTGGATTGAGGTCTGGTGACTGTGGAGGCCATTTGAGTACAGTGAACTCATTGTCATGTTCAAGAAACCAGTCTGAGATGATTCCAGCTTAATGACATGGCGCATTATCCTGCTGAAAGTAGCCATCAGAAGTTGGGTACATTGTGGTCATAAAGGGATGGACATGGTCAGCAACAATACTCAGGTAGGCTGTGGCGTTGCAACGATGCTCAATTGGTACCAAGGGGCCCAAAGAGTGCCAAGAAAATATTCCCCACACCATGACACCACCACCACCAGCCTGAACCATTGATACAAGGCAGGATGGATCCATGCTTTCATGTTGTTGACGCCAAATTCTGACCCTACCATCCGAATGTCGCAGCAGAAATCGAGACTCATCAGACCAGGCAACGTTTTTCCAATCTTCTATTGTCCAATTTCGATGAGCTTGTGCAAATTGTAGCCTCAGTTTCCTGTTCTTAGCTGAAAGGAGTGGCACCCGGCGTGGTCTTCTGCTGCTGTAGCCCATCTGCCTCAAAGTTCGACGTACTGTGCGTTCAGAGATGCTCTTCTGCCTACCTTGGTTGTAACGGGTGGTTATTTGAGTCACTGTTGCCTTTCTATCAGCTCGAACCAGTCTGGCCATTCTCCTCTGACCTCTGGCATCAACAAGGCATTTCCGCCCACAGAACTGCCGCTCACTGGATATTTTTTCTTTTTCGGACCATTCTCTGTAAACCCTAGAGATGGTTGTGCGTGAAAATCCCAGTAGATCAGCAGTTTCTGAAATACTCAGACCAGCCCTTCTGGCACCAACAACCATGCCACGTTCAAAGTCACTCAAATCACCTTTCTTCCCCATATTGATGCTCGGTTTGAACTGCAGGAGATTGTCTTGACCATGTCTACATGCCTAAATGCACTAAGTTGCCGCCATGTGATTGGCTGATTAGAAATTAAGTGTTAACGAGCAGTTGGACAGGTGTACCTAATAAAGTGGCCGGTGAGTGTATAATATAATATATAAGATATTTTAATATGATTGGACCATCATTATACTTTATTTTTATTTTACTTAACCTTTATTTAACCAGTAAAATCACACTGAGATGAGTCTCTTTTGCAAGTGCGAACTGGCCAAGGGTAGAGGCAAATAAAATGTTACACAGCTCTGCCAGTAACAATACAAAACAATGACAATACAATATGGAGAGACTGAGAGTACAATACCAATTGCTTAGGCTCAGAAAGGATGGAGAGACTAGCAAAAAATAGAATCAAATAATAGTACCAGGAAGCACTATATAAAATTGGAATAAAATAAGCTTAAATAAGTTAGCAATAACAACAATTTCAAACACTGATCAACAAAACAGGTGCAAGGAATGGTAAATGTGCCCCTGTCAATCCTTTTGAAGCTCACTAGAGGGATTAAAAAAGCCAATTTCAGTCTGGTCTGAAGGTCGTTCCACGACCAGGGCCCAAAGAAGTACTTCCAGATATACTTCCAGATGTGAGATCCTTGCAACTACTGCGGGAGTGAGGATTATGAAAATCTGACACAAAACCATACTAATGATTATTCCATGTTGACATATGTTCTCTCTCTCTCTCTATCTCTCTCGCGCTCTCTCTATCTCTCTGTCTCTCTTTATGTGTGTGTGTGTGTGTGTGTTTGTGTGTTTGTGTGTACAGGTGGCAGCTCGAGGTCTGGACATCTCTAATGTCAAACATGTCATTAACTTCGACCTGCCCAGTGACATTGAAGAGTACGTCCACCGTATTGGGCGAACAGGGCGAGTGGGAAACCTTGGTGAGACTGTAGCTTTGGTTAGACTCTCAGAAGTGTGTGTGTGTGTGTGTGTGTGTGTGTGTGTGTGTGTGTGTGTGTGTGTGTGTGTGTGTGTGTGTGTGTGTGTGTGTGTGTGTGTGTTTAATTGTTGTTGAATCATTCGTAGGTCTGGCCACGTCCTTCTTTAATGATAAAAACGGAAACATCACTAAGGACCTGCTGGACATTCTGGTGGAGGCCAAACAAGAAGTGCCATCATGGCTGGAGAGTCTGGCTTATGAGCACCAGCACAAGAGCAGCAACAGGGGGCGCTCCAAGAGGTACCAACACACAGACACACGCACACACTTTCTTAGACCAATGCAGAAAGGAAGTCATATCAAATTCTGACATTAGAGGATCATTAGTGGTTCGGCTGAAGCGCACAGTTGATGTTGTTCCTCCTCCAGGCTCCCTGCAGGTTTTTGTTTCTATGGACTGTCCTTAAAGATTTTATGAAGGGTTTGTCCACCTGAAGTGATGTCCCACTCTGTTTGGTATTTCTTCTCCAGGTTTTCTGGAGGTTTCGGGGCTCGTGATTACCGTCAGACAGCTGCAGGAGGAAATGCTGGAGGGTTTGGAGGACGAGGAGGTCGAAATCAGGCAGGACATGGAGGAAACAGAGGCTTTGGAGGAGGTAAGGACCTGAGGGTCAGCAGTACCATAGGGGAAAGAGGATGTGATAGTTGAGGTAGATTTAGGTTCACAGTGAAGGTCGCTCAAGAAAATTCACTCAGCTCTGTTACAATAGCTAAGCTCACTGCTCAGGAGGACTTTTCTTTTCTGAACTTCTGTCTGTTTCCTGTCAGGGGGTTTTAGTAACTTCTACACCAGCGATGGATACGGAGGAAACTACTCACACTCTCAAGTGGACTGGTGGGGAAACTAGGGTCTTCTTTTTTGTCTTCTTTATGTGTCCATCTCTCCTTCATATCTCCTTCTCTCCTTCATCTCTCATTGTCTCTTTGTCTTGTTTCCTCACTGGTGTCCTTCTCCCCTTCTCCTCCTCCTCATAAGAGCCCTCTGCATGTTATTAAACTATTTATACTCATTGATATATCCTCCTGTGCAGTCACCTGTTCTGTTGAATTTCTCTGTCTGTAAATCTGAAATCAGGACGTGCTCGGTTTTGTCTTTTGACTTAATTTGATAATTTTTCACTCCAGCCTCAGACTGACTCATCGGCTTCAAACTAGCTTCAAACTGGCTTCAAACTGGCTTCTTCTTTAGCGAGTGCACAGTGAAAGAAAAAAAAAAAACACGTAAAATGAAAGTTGAGGTTTTTTTTTAGGAACTCTGGAGGACCATATTTACAGAGCAGCTGAAGGAAATACTTTTGCTCCCATATTTTTTGTTTTCAGTTTGCGTTTCAACCTGTTTTTATGCAGAACCATCACACACCATGTTTGTGAATAAAACACCACCATGCTATAAACCACCAATCATACTTTTGTGAAATTTTACACAAAGGCAAGATGTCAAACCTGACCAAAACACATCTGCTGTGATATGATTTTAAACACGTTTGATATAATTTCTAACACATCTGGAGATGGTTTAAATCCTATGTGGGGTTTCCTCTGTTACAGAGTAAAACAAAAATTTTCGTTTTATTATCTGAAAATGTTTAGCAGAATAATTTCCTGATAAATGGGGCAGATGTCCATCAGGAACAGTCACACGGTCTGAAGAGAAACTAACTCTGACATTAGAGGATCATTAGTTTTTGTACTGTGCCTTTAACAATCTGCACTCTTTTTTGATTTTTATTTTAAGCCATAACACAGACAAAAACCCACACAAACCCATCAGCTAACCAAGAGGAAAGATGACATACCTTAATGCCATCTATAAAGTAGAACTTTTTGTTCTTTTGTGGAATAATTTAACGACATCAAACCTTGGCTATAAAAAATCATGACCTAATCGGAGATTTAAAAAAAAAAAAAACTCAAAGATTTTTCATCTTTCTGATGGACTCACACTCGTCGGGCTGATAAGTGATTTTAAAGAGCATTCAAACCCTGAGAACATGGAAAGACATGGATATGAACAAACTACTGTCCAAAATCTGTAAACTAAAGCCTCCTAAATTCTTTGTGACAGAAAGGTCAAAGGTCAGGAGCTTTTAAAGGTGGAGTTTAGTAAACTGACATCCCGAATGTGATTGATCAGTCTGAGCTCATAGTCTGTTTCTCAGAGCGTTCTAACACCATGAACCACCAATAGGACCTGGACTGACACCATGAACAAAGACCCAGACCACCAAAAGACCAAGACTAACACTGTGAACCAAGACCGTTTCTACGACCATGATCAAGGCTTACACCTATATCAAGATCCTGACCACCAGCAAGACCAAAATAGAATCGATAAACCAGGATTCAGACTACCAACAAGGTCAAGACCATCAACAAGACCCAGACTGTTACCTAAACGAAAATCAAGATTAACATCAAGAGCAAATCAGACTTTCATCAAGATCCTGACCCAGAATGACACAGTAGCTGGCATAAAGTTCCCTATCCCAATTTGACACTGAGTCCAACCCCAAAAACAACCATACTAATCCCCAAAATAACATCAAAACACCCAGATCCACTCCAAAATACCAAGACTAAACTACCAAGACCAGAATAAGATCCACACCTTCATTACAGACCGATGAGGAAGCTGACACTGAGATCCACATCTAGACTGATACTCCTTATTTCAGACCAACATCCAGAAAGCAGACCAACTGTAAGATCATGGAATGACATACAGACTTAAGACAAAAGACCAGATTCCAGACCAACATCCAGACCCCAGATCAAAATTCAGACTCTGGACTGATATCCAGACCTCAGACCAACATTATGTGTGTTTGTGTGTGTGTCCAGGTTGATGACTCTCTGCAGCACATTGCTCTGAAGTGACACTCATTGACAACAGATCGCTGGTGTAAAAATTGTCTTTAAAAGCAAAGCAGCTAGTTCAACACTTGGCTCACTCTATCCTGGAGTTTTATTGAAGAGTCTGAACTAAATTCAGTTATTCAGTTTACCTGTCAGGTTTATAGCTTGATAGTGAGAGAGGTGAGAGGTAACAGCAAAGTCAAGGGGGTAAGAGAAGAGGTGAGCCCTCCTGCAGCAGGTTCATACCTGCGTTACTGTGACAGGAAACCATCTATCCCTCACTGCACTACAGCTGATCTTAAATGAACCACCAAACTGGTTAGTTCTTTAATCAACTGGGTGGTTCATGGATTTACTGGTTGTTATAGTTAAGAGGTTAGTCAGTCTGTTAACTGGTTGGTCCATTAGCTTAATGGTTAAATTGTCTGCTTTTAGTCAACTGGTAAGGTTGAAAATTACCAGGTAGGTTCATTTGTAAACTGAGTTGATCTTTTGATGAGTGGCTGGTTAATTATTTAATTTGTGGTTCAGTTTGTAAACTGGTCATCCGATCCGTTTCAATGCTTAAACCTTCTGTTAACTGTCTAGTTTTTCAATTAAGTTGTTAGTTATGGAGTACATACGTATGTTCATGAGTTACTGTTTATCCATTTACCATTTAAGAGTACACCAGTTAGTTTTCAGATTAGGTCATAAGTTAACTTGTCCATTCACCAGTTCACTTGTTTAGATGTTGTTAGTCTTTCACTCAATACCCAGGCGTGAATGTCTTTGCTTCTTTGACTCACATTTACTTTTACAGTTACACAAACACAAACATGCACGTGCACACACACACACACACACACACACACACACACACACACACACACACACACACACACACACACACACACACACACGCAAACTTGGTGTGTATTTTGAAAACTAACTGATCTGTTAGCTTTGATTTTACTCATCTATATCTATTTTCATGATTGTTATCATTATCACTTTGAAATCCTGTGTAAGTGTGATTCATTATTCATTTTTGGTAACAGATTTTTGACAATTCTTTTCAGTCATTAGCAAACAAAAACTTGTCTTGTCCTCAGTCTGTCATAAAAATATCAAACAGTTACAAATAATGAAACTGTTTACAGTAAAACATTAACCAACGCCTGCACTCTGAACTTAATAACTTTAGAGCTGTTAACTGTTAAAGACTAGTGGCTGCAGCTTAGACTGGTGATCACAGGCAAATGTAGGTGATCACAGGTATCGTCTGGATTACCACATCTAAACCAGGTGGTAACAGGTACAGTTGAGGCCAAAATTATTAGCTGCCCTCTGAAATTTCTCCCAAATTTCCAAAGTGCTGTTCAACAGATTAATGATTTTTTTACACAGCTTTTCTTTACATCCTGGTTTTATTTTGGATCCTTACATTATTTTACTTTGCACACAGAAACAAAATTATTTCACAAAAACCAAAAACTACCAGGGTCAAAAATATTAGCCCCCCTGAGGCTGATAGTCAATTGTGGGTCCTTTTTGCTGGATAACAGCATGCAGTCGGTTGCTGTAGTTTGTAACAAGGCTCTGGCCCATCTCCTGAGGAATCCCAGCCCATTCCTCTTTGGAAAATCTTTCAAGCTCAACCAGATTTGATGGTCTACTAGCATGGACCCTGGTCTTCAGTGCAGCCGACAGATTTTCAATGGGATTTAAGTCAGGGCTTTGTGCAGGCCAGTCAATAACGTTCACTTTGGTTTCCTGGAGGCAGCTCCTCACCAGGAGTGCCGCATGTTTTGGGTCGTTGTCATGTTGGAAGACAAAGCGACGACCCAGACCCAGTTTTGCTGCTGTCTCCTTGAGGTTTTCTTGCAAAATCTTCACATATCCTTCTTTCTTCATTATTCCTTCAACCTTGACAAGATTCCCAGTTCCAGATGCACCGAAACATCCCCACAGCATGATGCTCCGACCACCGTGTTTAACTGTGGGGACAGTGTTCTTGGGGTTATATGCCTCTCCCTTCTTTCTCCAAACATAAGCAATGTCTCTGTGACTAAAGAACTCTAGTTTGGTCTCATCTGACTGAAGAACACGTCTCACGTTTGAACAATCTTTCTCCAGATTGTCTTTAGCATACCTCAGTCTGATTTGAAGGTGTCTCTTGTAGAAGTGGAGTTTTTCTTGGCCTGCATCCTCACAGTCCATTTCTGTTCAGCGCTCTAGAGACTGTCTTGTTTGACACCACAATTCCTGACTTGGCTAAGTCACCAACTTCTGTTTTGGTGGTTGTTCTAGGTTGTTTAGACACATCTCCCACCAGTTTTCTTTCCAGTCTCTTTGAAATTTTTCGCTTGCTACCTCTCCCAGACTTGTTCTGTGCTGTGTGACTCTCCTTGAATTTCTTGATGATACTTCTCACTCCACTTCTTGACACTTGAAAATGCTGTGATAACTTTTTATATCCTTCTCCTGCTTTGTGAGCATCAAACAATTCTTTTTCTAAAGTCTAAACTGAATTCTTTTGTTTTTGCCATGATGCCTTCTCAAGTGACAGCTCAAATGCCTAACGAGGTTTTTGTACTGTGTGTAGGACAACCCTTTGTTTTAACTTAATTGATTGATTGATTACAAGCTGTGAGCACTCGAAAGTGAACGTACATGATTGCACAACAGTGGTTTTTGTTTTGGCCCAATGAAAACGTAAATTCTTGAAGGGGCTAATAATTTTGACCCCGGTAGTTTTTGGTTTTGTGAAATAATTTTGTTTCTGTGTGCAAAGTGAAATAATGTATGGATCCAAAATAAAACTAGAATGTTTGGAAAAGCTATGTAAAAAAATCATTAATCTGTTGAACAGCACTTCAAAAATTTTGGAAAAAAACTTCAAATTTCATACGGGGGCTAATAATTTTTGCCTCAACTGTAGATACAAGTAATCACAGGTAGATACAGGTGATCACAAACAGATATAGGTGATCACAGGCAAACACAGGTGATCACAGGAAGATAAAGGTGATAACAGAAAAATAAAGGTGATCACAGGTAAAGTCTGGATTACCACAGCTAGACCAGGTGATCACAGGTAGATAAAGTTGATCACAGATCTGGATTACCACAGTTTAACCAGATGAGCACATGTAAACCAGGTCACCTTTATTGACTTTTAAAGTTTTCAAAGCTGGGCTGTACAAATCTGCACTTTTCAAAGATTTTGAAGTTTTTCAAAACCTTTTAATGCCTTAAATTCCTGGTGATGCATTAGTGTCACCACTATACATTATTAGTGTCACCATGGTAACCTATATGTATGTTTGAACACTCCTTGGTGCTATGTTAATATTGTTGCGTCAGAGAGACTACAAATCCCAGCATGCTTAATAGAAAGTCACTCTATGTGTGTGTGTGTGTGTGTGTGTGTGTGTGTGTGTGTGTGTGTGTGTGTGTGTGTGTGTGTGTGTGTGTGTGTGTGTGTGCGTGTGGGTGCGTTTGTGTGTTTCAGCTGCTGGCACACAGATTTGTGTGTGGCTGTGTGTAGTTTTTTGGAGGTAAAGTATTTATTTTTGTACATGTAGAGTTGGACACAGCACCCCCTCGTGCAGGGATAGGGATAGTGCAGAGTAAGGGACATGAGGGAGTTTTCGGGGATAGTGTGAGCTTTGAAATGTGAGAGACAGACGAGCTGCTCGTCTCTGCAGCACTTAAACAAACACAGAGACTGAGACTCAGACATCTCACTGATCAGGTGTGTTCATTAAAACTGAAATAAACATTCAAATCTTTATATTTGTTGTTTATGTTCTGTGTTGTTTGTAAACACCTGATGAAGTTGTTAATGTAAATAGATAAAAAAAATGTTTCCTGTAAACTCTCATTGGACTCAGTTGCCAGAAATCAACACTTACCCTCATTTTCAATTGGCAAAGTCAATCTGAGATCATGATGCCAAGGTTTGGATTAAAATTTATATTTTCTGATCGACCATTTTATAAAAACAAAATGAAAATGTGCAGTACAAAAAATAGATTCTCTCCAACCAGATTTGATTTAAATTTTTCCTTCCTGACACCCTCCCTGTGAACGTCTTAAAGTCTCTATCACACAGACTGAACCATGCTTATCGCTGTGCTGTGCCGATATTTTCAGGTGAGTGTGTCGGTGCTCAGGTGGGACACTGACCAATCAGGAGCCAGGAAACACCTGAACAAAATTTTTAACTCCTTTAAAAAAAAACTGTGATATTTCAATGAAGCTATTTATGAGCTGTGAATTCCAAGTGTAGTGTCTGTGCAGGACACTTAAAAAGAGATGAAACAGGGCCAACTGTATCTCTGCTCTGATTGGTCAGACCTCCCCCCCCTCCCACAGCACCACCTGCCTGTAGTTAGTATTTGCTTTCTGTATTAGTTTAGCTGCACTTTGCTTGAAGAGGAGCACTGCACGAAGAGGAAAAAATAAACTGTGCATCTATTCTGATTTTACCACAAATAAAGTTTGGATCTGAAAACAAGACTGTGTTTTTTAAACCCTCCGTAGATATCTGCTAATGGATTGACCAACTCAATCATTTTAGTGTCTGTGTCAAATGTTGTAATGCTTTAAAAAGTTCAGGTTGCTGGACATGCAGTCAGCTGTTTATTTATATGTGCACTTTGTTTCCACATAAAATCAGGTAAACATTAAATCAATGCACCTATCAAGAACATGCTCACATCTTGACATGAGAAGGCTAGAGTCAGTTTAGGTGAGTGAAGGTGAGCTTCAAATTGTTATTGGTAGGTTCATTGTCAGATAATGTTCAAGGTTGAGCACCAGAGTTTCACTCTCCTTCTGCATCAGAGTATGAGAGATCTGCTGATGAGGTTCACATCTTCCATTGATTGCTGCAGTGAAATCAAACAGACGGATGCAGAAGAATGAAATCAAGCTAGTGTGATTCTGGGCTGATTCTATGTACAACAGTTATGACACTGAACTGTTCTACTGCAAAGGTCACTGTAACCCCCCTTCACTTGTCTGATCATTTCTTAATTCAATTCACTGTTGCCATCCCACAGCTTGCTCTACAGATGTTCCAAATCCCTCAAGCCAACTCAGCTGGCTGTCGAAGTCTTGGTTGCCTCGCTTTATAATGAGTTCTGCATGCTTTCTGTGTGGATATAAACATACTCTGCTCCTCACTGTCCTCATTTCCTTGTCCTCTTGTAACAAAGCCTGCCAGCAAACACCCCCCCGCCCTAGTCCCAGGCTCACTGAGGTTAACTGAAGAGCAAAGAACAGACTCAGGGTGTAAGAAATAAAGTACAACTGACGACTGCAACTCCTCACTAGCAGGCCTGCATGCACAGTCAAACCTCTAGAGATGGTCCTGAATGCAGCAGCACATCTGATTTTAAACCAACCCAAAATAGCACGCCACTCCACTGTACATCTCTCTCCACTGGCTTCTTGTAGCTGCCAACATTAATATAAAGCTTTACTTTTGCCTAAAAAACTGCCACAAAATCAGGTCCTGCATACCTGCAGGTATGCCAGACTTTTCTCTTGTCTCGTCCCCTGGGGGTGCAATGGATTACCAAACTCTATCAGATCTACTGAGTCTCTTTCTACCTTTAAGAAAAAAGTCCAGACTCAGCTCTTTAGATAAGATATTCCTTCATTAGTCCCAAGGGGGGGAAATTCCAAGAGAGAACGCCTATGCAATTAAGCCCATCTCTTCTCCTCAGTGGTAGAATAACTGAAACAAATGTCCCCTTTTACTTTGAGACACTTGACCCAGCTTTTTGTGAATGTTTCAGCACTTGATGAACCTGATGATGAGGAGGAGGATATTGGTGATAGTGATGCCAATGATGGTGATGAGAATATTGGTGATAGTGATGCTAATGACGATGATGGCGGGAGATAATGACAATGATGACTTGGTTGGCGATTCACTTTGGTTTATGAGTTAATGGTTGTGATACATCACTTGCATTGCCTTCTAACTGCATGACAGCATTATGCCCAATTTCAGTTCTAGCAGTTTTTGACCCTTACTCAAGTCATTTCTCTACATCAAGTTCTTAGTTGTGTTGTATTTGCTCTCAAATATTAATTGCTTTGAACAAAAGTGTATCATACATGACATTGTAACATTGTAACATCAACATCAGGTAATAAATTAAACAAAAACAAACAAACAAACAAACAAAAAAAGGTAAAGGTCTGTGACTTAAAGGTAAGACTTTAGTTAAGAGAGGCGCCTGTTGTCCTGAACTAAAAATAATAAACAGCTGCTGATCAATGTTCATGCATTTAAGTCCCATGAGTCTAAACACTGATCCCACGCCAATATTTGATTCCTTTAAGTCCAGCTGCAGGGCACACAGAGTCCAAACCGATATTTAAGTCCTGTAAGTCAAACTGCATGGCACACTGAGCCCAGATCCATGATATAGAGTCCTGTGAGTCCACCTATAGGGCACAATGGGCCCACTCCTCTGTTTTAGTCTTGTAAATCCAGCTACAGGGCACACTGAGCCCAGATCCACGACAGAGTCCTGTAAGACCAGCTACAGGGCAAAGTGAGCCTACTCTATTTGTAGGTCACATGACTTAACTGTTGGTCAACGGTCCTTGTTTGTGTCTGACCAGAAGTCTGGATTCTCCTGATACCACGTCACTGTAAGACCAAACACAGTTATAAAATAATATTACATGGGACAGGAAACAGCTGATCTGGTTCTTTGTGTGTGTGTGTGTGTGTGTGTGTGTGTGTGTGTGTGTGTGTGTGCATGTGTTTCTGCATGTACCTGTTTGTCTGATCCCCTCTGCCCAGGTCACCTGTGCTCTCCAGCCAAGCTGCTGCAGTTTCTCACAGGTGATTGGGTATCTGAGCTCAGTTCTTGGCCTGCCAAGGTCAAAGGTTAACATCAGAGTTAAAATAACTCAAACTTGGGTTTTCACAAAATCAGGTGATTACAGACGGAGGAAATTGTGGGCTATCTGACGATTTGTTTAAGTGTGGCACCATCATGCATAGCGGCTACAACTGTGGTGGTAACTCAGTGCCTGCTGTGGGCAGACTGTGTGGATGGCGGGATTAAAACTAAACTAAACTAAAAATGAACTAAAAATTGCAGCAATAGGTCACTCAGTAATGAGCTAAATTACTGATGATTATAATACTTATTATTTTTCTGCTCTGAAAAAAATCTCCCTCGTGTGTAGCTGATCAGTCTGTACAATGTCTACTCTCATACAGACTTAGGGCTCTATTTCCGTGTCCGCTGGTGAGGCGGTGGAGGGTGGCAGACCCCGCGCAGTGGTATTTCCGTCTGGCGCACTGAGGTCTGCCAAGCTGGGCGTGGTGGCGTAGCAGAGGGAGGTGTCAACAGAATCAGCTGCCGCAGTGACATTTTCGTGCCCGCCGTCACCGATGCCTCACTGGCAGGTTTCCACAGTGTCAGGCACATTTCAGTGCAATAAATAATCATCAACAAATAATCTGAGTCAGCACATACATTTAGATCTATATAGATATATTCTGATCTATATCTGATCTGATAAGCGTGTTTGGCAGTTGTTTAGACACACAACCTGAACGAATCAAAACAGCTGAAACCGCATTAAATTAAATTAGATATCTAGTAAATAGACACACATGATGAAGTTAACAAGATATGTAATTCGTCTCCCTCCTTTTCTTTCTTCCTCTTCCTCTTATTTCTTGCGCAGCTCGACCTGGACATGTCTTCGTGTCCTCTCCCCGTCCTGCTGCAGCTGCTGCTGCGGCGGCTGAACAGATGATTTGTTTCAGTGATCAGATGAGTTATTAACTTTAAGCCTACATACGAATATTACAATATTCAGTTTTGTGAGCCAAATTTATTTTATATGCCAACATCTATGAAAGAAAGAGCCAGGCCACGGAGCGCGACGCGTCATTACGCACAGATGGTTCAAATTTCAATGCCATTATTGGAATTTATGATGTGATCTCTGCGCACAACCCATCTTTGTCACATAAGGTTTGAATATGTGCAACTTTATGTGTCATTATTTGTTGAAAGGGATGTTTGTCTTACTTGTGGATCCAACATAACACACACCAAACCCATCTGTGTTCATATGAGAGTGTGAAGGACGCCCTCTGCAGCTCTTACAGCGACATTTGTTGAGGGGCTGCCTTCTGTCGCCATTATGTGGCATTGTTGTCTTCAGACATCTCTTGATCTCTTTGACTACTTCACGAAAATAGTAATACGCCTCGCCGGTGGCAGATTTAAAGGCGAGGAGAGGAGCTGATGTTATTGGTCAATACAGGTCTCGGCTGTATTAAACCCACTCTATGCCCTCTCTCCTACCTCGCTATGACTTACGCTGCCGGAAGGAGCTGAGTTTGGGAGAGGGGATACTTATGCCGGGCTGCGCCGCTCACCAAAATACCAAATTGTGCTTGGGAACGCCTTGTCGGCGCGGGGGACCTGACCTACGCTGCCCCTGGGCCATGTCTCCGGCGAAGCACGAAAATAGAGCCATTACTCTTTATGAAGTTAAAGTGTATATGTAAAGCAGATTATTTCCATAAAGTAATAATAATCATAATCATTTTGCACTGCAGCCGCGGTAGTTCTTCTGCCTTAGCGTCTTGGTCTGATTGCATTTCTATTAAGTAATGATCAAAAATGTTCTTCCTTGAACTGCGAAACTCTACTGTGCTCGGTGATCGACTCATTAAGGCTCCCCCACAAACAAGCGGCTGATGGACGAGAGTGGGTGAGTTTTGTTTGGCCTCTTTGTTAAAGAAATTAGGCAAAGCTAAGAAGCTGTTTGGTGGCTAATACTATGGCTGGGACCCTACATGTACTGTTGATGAAGTTAGGTGCTGTTCTGAGCATTATTTGTGGCTATGGAGTGGTGTTTTGGCCGAGGTTTGTGCGTGGGGATGTAGACGGCTGTGTTTTTCTATCGCTCGGTCGTTACTAAAGTTGGTACAACTAGAGAAACAAGTGGTTGGTAACACTCATCTCTCGAGGGGGTGTCTAACTCAGTGTTACAGTGTGTTTGACCATAACTTAAATTTACGCCGGAATATCCCTTTAATACAATCAGGTGTTAGTAAACTCAGGCATAAATAAACTCCGCTATAAAAAAAATCTGGTATTTACAGACTCAAGTGTTAATATATACAGTTATAAAAAAACCTCAACTGATTACAGAATCAGGTGTGAATAAACTCAGGAATAAAAACACTCAGGTTTGAAGCATATTCAAACATAAACAAACTCAAGTGTACATAAACTCAGGTGATTTCAGACAGATTTTTCAGAAGATTATTTTTAAATGTTTTTAACGTCACCATTCTCTGGGTTTGTGTGATTTACCTGTATAATCACAGTGTTCTCACCTGTCAGGTACAAACTCCAGCCAGTCATTTACCTCAGAATCTGGAACATTCTTCACCTACACACAAATACATTTAGGGTTAATATATTTGTCACCTGTCCTATTTCACGTCATCTCCTGTTTGTCTTTATCTCACCATTTTTATTAGCTCTCTGCTCAGATGCATGATGGGAACCTCACAGCTCGAGCCAACGTTATAGATTTCTCCCACAATCCCCTTTTCCAGCAGTAGCAAGAAGGCTTCAACAGCATCGTCCACAAACAGGAAATGGCGAGATTTAGGCAATGTTCCCTGGATGGTGCTGAGGGCGAGCAAACAGAGCAAACAGAGAGAGAGAGAGAGAGCGAAAGAAAAGAGGGGGAAAAGAGAAATTTTATCAATCAATCAGGAACTTTACTGGTTACATTTTCAAACTAATACTCAAAAAGTGTTTCAGAGTGACAACATGATCATATTTACAATGTGTGTGGCATTGTGCTATTGTGTTACAGTGTTAAAGTATGAGGGTGTGCTTGTTAATTACAGTTTGTCTGCATTACAATGTGAGTGTGTGTGACAGTGTTACTGTGTGGTTGTGTGTTATGGTGTGATAATGTAATGGTGTTTTTTCATGTTAAGTATTACAGAGTTGTAGAGTTATTGTGTCTTAGAGTGTAAGACTGGTACAGTGTGTGACTGTGTAACTGATTCACAGTGTTAGAGGGTGATTGTGTGATACAATGTGATAGTGTGGTTGTGTTTAACAGCTTTGACAGTATGATTGTTTGTTACAGTGTAACAGTGTGATTGATTGTGTGTGATAGAATGTTTCTAAGTCACAGTGTGACTGGTGTGACAGTATGATTGTATGTTATGGTTTTAACAGTATGACTGTGTTACAGTGCAATTGTGTGTTACAGTGTGATTGTATGATTCTGTGTGAGTGATACGGTGTGATTGTATGTTAATTTAGTCAGTATTATGACTAATGTGATTGAGTGACAGTGTCACAGTGTTATTGAGTGACAGTGTCGCAGTGTGATCGTGTATTACAGTGTGTGTTTTTTTTTTTTTACAGTGTAGTGCGATACTGAGTAAAGTGTTAGATTGTGTGTAACACTGAGTTGCAGTGTAACGGGCGTACCATTTCTTGTTGTGCTGTAGGAGTGAGATGAATCTTGGAATCACCTAAAGGTGGAAAAAAAAACAAAAGTTTCACCACAAGGAATAGTGACAGTCAGCTAAAACCAAGTAGGGAACTGTCAATGGACTTTGCTTATATAATGAGGTAAATGTGGATGATCAGAGGCTAACAGGGGATGCAGTTACCTTCTCTGTGAACTGTCGGGGGCCGTAAATGTTGTTACTGCGCGTGATGATGACAGGAAACTGGAAAAAAAAAACCCACACAAAACAGGACCTCTCATCAGAACAAAACTTAAACTCCACAGCCTGATCCTGAGAGTGGGAGAATGATTGAGTGTGTGTGTGTGTGTGTGTGTGTGTGTGTGTGTGTGTGTGTGTGTGTGTGTGTACGTGTGTGTACGTGTGTGTGTACCTTATATTTCTCCCAGTAGGACAGCACCTGGATCTCTGCAGCAGCTTTGGTTGCAGAGTACGGATTGTTCGGTTTCAGAGGACTCAACTCATCAAACACCTGCCAACAGATAACATCTGTAATCTCCCAGAGTGCTTCACTCCGATGACACCTGTAATCAAAATCGCCTGTACTCTCCCAGAAAGCTTCAGTGTTTGTTGGTTGGAAAGGTGTATTTACCTGCTGGCTGGTGGCTCCATAAACCTCATCCGTGCTGACATAGATGAATCGATGTAGTGATCGTTCAGCGTGACAAGCAGCTGACAATAAAACTCGAGTTCCTTCCACGTTAACCCGCTGAAAAATGAGCGGGGCCTCAAACGATGTCTCTGACGGATAATAAACACACCAATTATTTTATTAATAACACTTCATTTCAACCTATTACAGATAATTAAACATCTTATCGCTTATAACCAGAGCATCTGAACCAGAGCATCAGGAAGTTTGGTTTTATTGAGTATTGTATAGTATTTGTAATCCATTCACACAGGAAGCACCTAAAATAATAGAACAAAACACATATATTATTACTGTTTCTTTATGATTGCTTACTTGAAGCTACATTCTGAGTTTTTCTTGCTCATTCATTTTAAATATAAAATTTAATCAGTTGACTGCCTTCTCTATGTGTCAGGTGTAGGGGAGAACGGAGCTTGTTGTCAAACTTTTTACACTCTTATATATTTCTCGGAATAAATACATCATATGTAAACAAAATGTGTACCACACAAAAGACCAAAGTCTCAGGTATATATTTCATATTCATATCATTTTCATATCTTGTGTCAGTGCAGAGTTATAAGCAATCACATAGAGAGTGTGAACATGTGACATGTTGACCCACCATCGGGTAAGTTGTCTCACTTCATGAAGTAAGATGTCACAGTGGATTTTGTAGCTAATAAAACAAGGACAAAATTATTGTTGTTCTCGTTTTTTTACTTGAAAGTGAACATCAAAGTCAGGCACAGAAAATGTTTATCACTGAGCCAGAAAAGTCATTGAACATAGCCATTGAACAAACGTTACCATAAAATATTATGCAACATGCTCTGGAGTTTGAAGATCTGTCTGACTCTGTATTTCGGCTGGGGTGAATGTTTTGCAGTACTGAGCCAAGGTATGGTAGTTGACATTTAAGTCCTTTATTGTACTCCAGATTGATTTATTAGCTAGGGTCACCTGCCTGACTGCCCTTAGCATCACATCAGGCACTGCACTGACATGTTCTGTTTTTCTTTTGAAATTCCTGACCATGTCCTCTCACTTTCTCCTCTCCTTTAAACCAATCTTTTCTCTGTAAAAATAAAGTCAAAATTTCATTATGACAACTACTGATAAGCAGACTCTCTATAATAATTTAATCTCTTTTAGACATGTGACAACTTACCCCAAAATGACTGAGACATATTGCCCCAAACTACCATGTCTGCTAATTAAAGCTCTAGCTTAACATTAGCTTAAAACAGAACAATGACTGAGGTATGACAGGATGTCTTAATCTCTCCTCTAACAAGTCCACATGTATCACTGCTAGGATTTTTATCTGGAAGAAGCTTATTTTAAAATATATAAGGTTATTTTTTTTACTTTGGGTTGTGCGTAATGGTTAATTGGCACTCATCTCAGCTCACAATGTGCTCTTCTCTTCTCAGACAGGAAACAACCCCTGTCCATGTAAAGGAAGAAAACTCGTATTCCACTTTTTAGTTATGCCCTCTGGTGGCAAAAATAATTGCAATGTGACAACTTACCCCTGTGACAACAAGCCCCTATCTCCCCTACATTCAGTGTTTCTTACCAACATGTGTTTTAGCTGCCAGGTGAAAAACCACGTCAATGTTCTGAGTGTGAAAGATGTGATTCACCAGCAGAGAGTCACATATGTCCCCCTGAACCGGGAGAGAGACTTTAGAGTATTTAAAACAAAACAGCTGAAACACACAGTAATATCACCAAAGCACACACAATGCACACTCTGATTATTATGTCATCAGGAAAATAACCTCACACACTCTTGTGTATTTGTATAGTTATTACACATAGCGTGTGTGTACACTCACCTTGATTAAGGTGTAATTTGTTCTGTTCTCAACGCTCTCCAGACTCCAGGGACTGCAACAGTAATCCAGCTGTTTTACAGACATACAAACACATGCAGAGAGATCAGTCAGAGCACGTCATTTACATCATACATCTGAATATTATTGTACTGTGAAAGATCTGAGCTCAGACACACACTCAGTGAACACCTACGTTGTCCAAGTTAATGATCCTCCAGTTGGGGTGTCTGCAGACTAATGAACAGATGAGGTGAGAGCCACTGCAAGTAAACATCAGACACAGAATTAATCACCTAATCTAGAGGAGTAAAAACAGATTTTATAAAGTTAAACTGACTCGATATATTTTAAAACTGATCTTTTGTGACATTTCCACGTTAATTCAGATAAAATAAAGTCGTTTGTCAAATTGAGTAGCAAAGAAAACCTCTGTAACAACTGTGAACTAACATATATAAATTATTATAGGTGTGTATTTCCTCAGCCTGAATCAGTGTCCACATATAATCACATGCTATATCTGCTGTCCTTTCAGTGAAAATATTCTCATTAAATGAAATTCTGGAATAATAAAATCATTCTGGATACATACGACTTTCAGGATAAATGAAGTTATTTAAGATATCAGATTCTGGATCTTTAAAAAAAGACGTTAGATAAATAAGAAATTCTCTGTCACCAGAGTCAAAAGTTTCCCAGTAAGCAGGCCCTCCAAGTTTGTAAATGTTTTTTGGCTTCTGCAGACTAATGATAATCAAGTAATACACGCTGTAAATGAGGTGTTTCCACTTAGATGTGGATCAGGAGCATTTATTTTGGTCTGTTTTGGTTTTCAGACTCACATGAATCCGGACCCTCCTGTCACTAGTACCGTCCTCTTGAAGTCCATCCTGACCCTGCCTCGTTACATTCAGGTAACCTGTGAGCAGTACACCGGCACAAATCTCTGCTTCAGCCAGGGAGCTAAGTAACGTTTTCTCCTATCTGGATTTAACGCAGATACTAATAAGAATGTGCGACAGTCAGTTGCTCCTTTACGGCAGTATTGACACGTTGAAAGTAGGCGGAAACGTAGTGAAGTTACGCACTAGTCTATGGTTTCCGATTGGCTGTTGTAAATGACGCACGTTGTATATGTCTTTCAATTGAAAGAACACCAAATCAGTCAAATTGTCACGCCCTAAACGTGGCAAAGTCGTCACGGCAAGTTACCCGTGACCCACATTTAGCTTCCGAAAATGCTTTTCAGAATAAGATATCTTAACTGAAATGTATGACGTTCTTGCTTCTATTCAGGATACCATCATCCATCAGAAGAACAATAAGTATCTGAGAAAATAAGCACAATGACCCTGTATATATCTGTACTCTCAGTGAGATACACTTCTGGAGGTTTAATTTTCCGGTGTGCTGGTAAATTGCAGACAACTTGACTTAACTGCTGGTTAACTTCTGTCTTCGTGGCTCGTTGAATTCATCAGCTCAGACTCACGAAAGATGTATGTGTTTGCGGTACCCCTGGTCCTCCTGCTGCTGGGCCCAGGTGTGTCAGGGAAAACGGTGACCGGCCAATTTCGGAGCCAAGCCGCACGACAACAGAGCGGACAGTTTATCTCTGCCTTCATGTTCACAGGTAACACAGGAAACACAGTTAACTCAGGCGGCAGCTGAGCCGGAGATCGCGCGCATGTGTCTGTTCTTGCATGCGCGTTTGGTGCGTGTCTCTGTGTCTGTCTGTGTAATTGTCTGTGGCTGTTTCTGTCCGTGTGAGTGGGTGAGAGAGAGAGAGTGTGTGCATGTGATGCAACGTTCGGTCTGAGCTGTAGGTGACCAATCAGATCAGACGTGTTTGACAGAAAATCACAAATCCTTGAGCTAAAAATCTGACATTATCCTTATCACATGATGATGACTGTGTTCTAATTACACGATATCTTTTTCTAATTACATGATGGCTTTGTTCTCATAACACAATGATTATAACAGTCATGTCATGAGAACAAAGTCATATTTTTAGAATAAAGTTATCATGTCATGAGCATGAAGTCACGTTGATAGAATAATCTATTTCCATGATGACTTTATTCATAGACATCATGACTCTTTTCCAATAACCTGATGACTTTATTCTAATTACATTAAGATTCTTTTCAAAAAACATGATGACCTTATATTTATATCATGACTTTATTCTAATTACCTGATGCCTTTTTTTTTTACTATATGATGACTATTCTAATGATATTATGACTCTGTTCTTTCAACAGAATGGCTTTGTTCTCACAATATGATGACTGGATTCTGATCATACATTACTTAATTCTCATGATACTTTTTTCTTACCATGTTGACTTTATTCACTTGTAACTGTTTTTTTTTTCCAACAAAACGTTATTTAGACTCTATTTTAACAAGATAATGATTTAAAAACAGTTTTTCTTTGCAAATATGCTAATATATTAAATAAATGTGCCTTTGTTTAGTACTGTTTTGTGACGCTATCTTTATCACACAAACCTTTTCAGGTTCTTGACAACCACCATTGCCTCAGTCACAGAAGAGATTGGTTATTGAATCTTACCTCTAGATGCTACTAAATATCCTCATTCTATATACTTACCTTTTCCCAGTCTTTTATCAATCGGGCTTGGCTCTCAGTGAATGCAATGAGGTTAAATATCTTGGGCTTTTTATTTCTAATGATCTTTCTGATGACAAAGCTATGGATAGGCAGTGTCGCAAACTGTATGCTCAAGCAAGTGTGCTATGTCGAAAATTTAACGTGCTCTGTGCCAGTGAAGGTAAACCTATTCAAAACCTACTGCACCCACCTCTATACTGCCCATCTGTGGTGCAGATATAGACAGGGCAGCCTTAGAAGGCTTACTGTGGCCTACAATAATGTTTTGAGGCTGCAGCTCAGAGCTCCCAGGAGCTGTAGCACTAGTCACTTGTTTGTAAGTCTTGGTGTACCGACATAACCTGCAGTGCTTCGTAAGTTAATGTACAGATTTATGTGTAAAGTTGAGGTGTCTGAAAACACCATAATTTCTGTAATATGCAATACTCGATGCAGCTCCGTCAAGTTTGTCTCAAGGTTGTGGAGCCATTGGCGCTAATGCCTTTACTAGGTTTCCTTTTTTAATCTTCTTGTGTTTATTTTGCTGTATGTGAGAATTTTTTTATATGGACCATCCTGTGGGTGGGGCTGAAATAAAGTTGAATAAATAGGTTGATCTGTGTTCCTATAATATGAGAACACGATCTTAACCCAGTGTGTGTGTATACACACGTAGATACAGTGTGTCTACGTGTGTATATTTGTTCATGCGTGTCTGTGTGTGTGTGTGTCTGTCTGTTTGCATGTGTCCATGCATATATGTCCAGGTGAGAACAGTCTGTTGGTGTGTCGTCTGGAGAACCCCATTCTGGCTGCAGAGAAGGAGTCTAGGCTGCTGCTGTATCAGGACTGGGACTCAGACTTGGAGAAGCTGAGCTGCTCTGAGAGGTTGACTCGAGCTCTGTTCAGCAGTAAGAACCTGAGAAATCACCTTTGACATCACATGTACCTGTCATCACAGTCTGCCCTCACCTCCTGTACAGATGATCATTAACCCCCTCTCACTGTCCCCCTACAGTCTCCCTCACCCAGGACGAACACAACCTGACCATCCCCCGTCAGTCCTCCCCTATAGCATGGATGGCTTTGTACACAGACAGGTACACCTGCCAGGTAAAATACACACACACACATACACACACACACACTTAAAATGTTCAACTTCAGTATTTTTTTAGACACAAAAGGATAAAATCTTTGAAACTATCTCCCATCTCTCCTGTGAACATCTGATCCCTTCCTGTCCCACCTGTCCCACCAAAGGACTCAGTGATCCCCAACCACTCTGACCTCACCTTTACAGTCCTGATGCTAAACCCTGACTCCGCTGGAAATCCTTTGGACCACTTCAGCGCTGAGGAGGCAGGTCAGACCACCAAGTTATCCCAGTTGAGCATTTACCCAAAACCCCCAGAATGCTTGATACTCCCAGTATACACAACACTCAAAGAAACCAACATTTCCAGTATATCCAACACTCCCACAATGCCCAACACTCTCAGTTTCCCCAACACTCAGTATAATAATTCATTTTATCCCTCCATCATTCCAGTGTTCCCATTATACCCAATGCAGTGGTGATTTTAACATTCATATCTGCTATCTTGCTGATGCATTTGCAGAAGAGTTTTACAGCCTTTTCAAGTCTTTTAACTTTGTTTTACACCCCACTGATCCAACACATGTCAAGGACCATACTCTAGACCAGGTCATATCACATGGCTTCAGAATTGATTGCATAGAACTTAATGAGTTCTGTGTATGTGACCACCTTAGTTTCATGTTCAACTTGCATTCCTCTGTAACCACAACAGTACAACCATCCCCTACTTGCTCTGGCATTATTTACTCGTCTGACACCATGAAATTTTCATGTGCTTTTCCATCTCCCTGCAGACCTGCGTCTCCTCTCCCATCCTGACTATGTAGTCAACACATTTTACAACCTCTGCAGTGAAACACTGGACTCTTTTGCTCCAGTTAGAACTTGTGTCAAAACTATTTTAAAGTCATACCTTGGCTCAATGACTACACCTGCTCCTTTAAAAGAGAGAAAGGTAAAGCAGAGCAAAAATAAAGGGCATGCAAATTACAGGTGTACTATGAACACATGAAAACCTACAATGTTGCTGTAAATGATGCATGAGCAAGGTATTTTTCGAGCCTCATCTCACAAAACAGTAAAAAAAAAATCTTTAAAACCTGTGATCAACTAGTTGGTCACCCCTTCTAACAGAAATCTCCAACCATCTCCTGATCTGTGTGAGCAATTTAAAATGTTTTCATCAACAAAATTAAGAACACTAGATTACAAACCATTAAAATGTTTCCCCTCAACTCACCTATCCCTGAAACTTTGGACAGAACCCCAGTATCAGAACTCCCTTTTTTGGCTTAAATCTTGGAAAATGTAGTTCTTGATCTGCTCCATACCCATCTGACAGATAACAATTCATTGGATGTGTTCCAGTCTGGCTTTCGCTTGCTCCACAACATCGAGACAACTCTTCAGAGAGTTTGTATGATCTCCTTTTCACTGAAGATGCTGGTGACTGCTCTGTCCCGGTTCATGTAAGAATAAGAATAAGAATTACTTTATTAATCCCTGAAGGGAAATTCAATTGTCTGTTGTCTCAAATAACATGTCAAAAAGTTATCTACTATTCACACAAGACTTATAAGGTCTAATGGCTGTTGGTACAAAAGATCTTCTAAATCTTTCTGTCCTGCAGCGAAAAGAGAGGAGCCATCCACCACCATTGGCCCTTTGGTCCATTAAGGTGTTGTGAAGAGGGTGATCCATGTTCTTTAGAATCGTCTCCACCTTCCTCGGTGTAGATTTCTCAACCACATCCTCCACTGACTCCAGCTTGAGTCCAACCACAGAGCCAGCCTTTTTCACCAGTTTGTTGAGACGTCTTGCATCTTTGTGTTTGATGCTTCCTCCTCAGCAGACTGCAGCGTAGAACAGAACACTTACCACCACAGACTGATCAAACATCTGCAGCATCTTACTACAGATGTCTATTGATCCGAGTCTTCTCAGGCAAAAGTGGCGGCTCTGCCGCTTTCTGTAGATGAAGTCTATATTCTTAGACCAGTCCAACTTATTATTCAGATGTACACCTAGGTATTTATATGATGTCACCACTTCGATGTCCACTCCACAGGTGTTCACTGGCTGAAGAGGGGGTTTGGATCTACGGAAGTCTATGACCATCTCCTTTGTCTTTGAGTCGTTGAGGAGGAGGCAGTTTTTGTGACTCAGGTCACTGAAGGCTCTTATCAGATCTCTGTATTCAGCTTCTTGTCCATTTCTGATACATGCCACAATAGCGGTGTCATCTGAGTATTTCTGGATGTGGCAGGACTCAGTGCTCTATTTGAACTCTGACATGTACAGTGTGAACAGGAATGGCGCCAGCACTGTCCCTTGTGGAGCCCCTGTACTGCTCATTAATGTCCCAGAAACACAGTTCCCCAGCCTGACAAACTGTGACCTACCTGTCAGGTAATCTGCATCCAGAAAACACAGGAAGGATCCACTCCCATCTCTGTGAGCTTGTCTTTGAGTATGGTGGGTTGGATGGTGTTGAATGCCCTTGAAAAGTCGAAGAACATGATCCTCACATAAACCCCAGGTTTCTCCAGATGAGACAGGGCACGGTGAAGCATGTAGAGGACAGCATCATCCACTCCAATGTGTTCTTTGTATGCAAACTGCAGGGAATCCAGTTTGTCTTTGACCTCGGACCTCAGAAGGCGTAGAATCAGCCGCTCCAGGGTTTTCATGATGTGTGAAGTGAGGGCCACTGGTCTGTAGTCATTGAGTTCAGCAGGACATTTAGTTTTTGGTACTGGCACAATGCAGGATGTTTTCCACAGAGCAGGTACCCGCCCCAGCTGTAGACTCAGGTTGAAGATCTTGTGGAGAGGTTGACACAGTTCTGCAGCACAGTCTCTAAGCAGCCTTGGATACACACCATCTGGACCAGCTGCCTTCCCAGGACAAAGTCTTCCAAGCTCCAACCTCACCCCTGTTTCGGTGACAGACAAGGACTGGTGTTCTAGGAGGGAGGCAGTTGAAGTGGTAGAGACATTTGAACAAGATGAAAGAGGAGGAAGGGGAGAAGTTGTAGTGGAGATTTGTTGAGGAGAGGAAGGTGGAGTAGCAGTGGGAGTGGTTGTGACAGCAGTGTCAAATCTGTTGAAGAACAGGTTGAGTTCATCAGCTCTTTCTAGATCACCCACTACTGGCTGTCTGTTCTTTTTATTGCTGTGTCCAGAGATGGTACTGATTCCTCTCCACACTTCACGGATGTTGCTGTGTTGTAGATTCTTCTCTCTCTTTTTGTACGCCAGCTTTGCCATCTTCAGTCTCCTCTTCAACTCTTGTTGCACTTGTTTGAGTCGTTCTTTGTCACCATCTTTAAAAGCTTTCTTTTTCTGGTTAAGGATTGCTTTTATGTTTCTTGTGATCCAGGGTTTGTTGTTGGGGAAACAGCGAACAGTCTTTGTTGGTATGACTGTGTCTCTACAGAAGTTGACATATTCAGTGAAGCAGTCAACCTGTTTGTCAGTGTTCATACTATCCACATCTGTTTCCAGCATCTTATTACAGTCTGTTTATTTAAAACAGTCCCTTAGAGCTTCACTGGCTTGAGGTGTCCATCTTCTGATTTTGACTTTGGTCAAAGGCTGCCTCAGTACACAAGGTCTGTAACAGGTTTGCAGATAGACCAAGGTTTGACTTGCCCAGTGGTAGTAAGGCATTGGCTCTGTAGGCTTCTTTGACGTTGGCATACAGCAGATCCAGGGTCTTGTTTTCTCTGGTAGGACAGTTCACAAACTGTGTGAATCCAGTCAGGTGAGAGGACAGGGTGACATGGTTGACGTCTCCTGATATTATTATTAGTGCCTCAGGGTTTTAAGTCTGTAGCCTGGCAACACTATTTTGCAAAACATCGCAACATTCTTCAGTTGATTTGGGTGGAATGTAAACAACTACTGTTATGATATGACTGAATTCTCTTGGAACATAATATGGCAGAAGAGTTCAATATCTGGACAACACAACTTCTCCTTGACAGTCATGTGTGAAGGGCTGCGCCATCTTTGGTTGACAAATAAAGCCAGACCTCCTCCTTTTTTCTTGCCACTAGCTTGAGCACCTCTGTCTGACCTTATAAGAGTGAAACCAGGTAGATCCACACTGGAATCCGAGTTGTTTTGATTCAACCATGTTTCAGTAAAACACAGGAAACTGCACTCACGGTATGCTTTCTCAGTCTTCACCAATATCTCCAGCTCATCACTTTTGTTGGGCAGAGAGTTGATGTTTCCCTTGATGATTGATTGAAGAAAGAGTTTATATCGCCACCTCCTAGCATTCAGCTTTGCCTTCACCTTTGCACCAGCACGGCAACCAGGATAACACCTCCTGATGTCCTCTAGAATTGTATGTTGTTGTCCAGATTTACTTTTCCTCAATGAAAGGAGCGTTCTCTCGTGTAAACTCTTCGCCTAGCAGAAGTATCCATCAGCAGCCAACAAAATGACAACAAAAATATGAAAAAAATCTAGCAAAAGTTACAAAAATTACAGATAATATGGACAGACCAGACTTGCAGCAACCTCTCGGTTCAAGCACATCATTTAAATTTGGATTTGAATTTGGACCTCAGTGCTGTGTTTGACACTGTAGATCACAGTATATTGATAGAGAGGCTGGAGAAGTCTGTAGGCGTAAGTGTGGCACATCTGGTTTTGGAAATGATCAATGAATTTAAAATTGTAACTTGAATGTTCTGATTTCATCTGGACATATTCAGCCTTTGTTTGAGCCCTCCTCAGTGTTGACCTGCAGTGTAAAAACTATGTTTTTCTGTCTCTCAGGATTGAACACCTTTTACTTCATCCTGCTCCTGTCCTACTTCATTGTTGGCTGCATCTATGTCCAGCCTCTGTTTCAAGCTCTAAGGAAAGGTGGGCCTTTGCACACCGCTCTCAAAGTGCTGACTACAGTGCTTGCATTACAGGGATGCTCTGCCCTTTGCAACTACATCCACCTGGCCAGGTACACTTCAAAAAGAGCAATCTCAGCCCTATATCATTGCTAATGGCAAAGAGTGTTTTTGATAAAGTATTTTATTTTATATCTTTACGAGTAAGGACTACCTTAGTCAATGAAGGCTTCAACCTTTTGACCTATTCCACCAGTAGAAAACATCAGTTCCATTTCGGTTTGATACCATTTTATATATTTAAAACTGTCTTTGGATTTATTACATGATTGTTTGAAGTTAATTAATCTGACATTTTTATGTGCTCATTGTACCTTGGAAAGTTATTTTTTAAGTTTTAACATCGGAGAGCACATATATCCTTGCTATTGATTTCCCTTTGAAGAAATGTTCTGAAAACTCTTAAACCCTTTCAGGCTCGTGTCAGCGGGTCAGATTTTATTTCGGAGGAAGAGGAGTGAGGAGATAGATGACATAGAGGGGAAGTAAAGATGGAGATAGATGAGAAAGAGGAGGAGGAAGAAGAGGAGGAGAAAGACAAAGACATTTAAAACAAAATTATCTATTATTTAATCTAAAATTTAAAAAATCCAACAATGTCACTTTTTTAAACTTTTACATTTTATGTCTGTATTGTATGCAGGTCAGGGTGAGTTTGACCTCCAGCAAACATTAAAACAAAGTTACGAAGAAGATTTAAGTGAAATGATGCCCCTGGTTTTGTTTAACAGGTACTCCAGAGATGGTGTTGGTATCCCTGTGATGGGCAGCCTGGCAGAGTGTATGTTCTTCTTTATTTCTCCATAAATCTCTCAGAGGTCTTGGTCTTAAACCTTTGTCTCAGATATTTCAAGCTCTGGTTCTGTGTCCCCCCCTTGCAGGCTGGGACACGGTGTCTCAGGTGTCCATGCTCTACCTTTTGCTTAGTCTATGTCTTGGTTGGACACTGAACCGAGGCAGGAAGCCTCAATGTGGCCCACTGCAGTGGGAACACTCACCGGCATCCACAGCTGTGGCTGTTGGTGGAGTTATTACACAGGTACTCTAAGCCAAGCTACAAAATATTTAAAGACAATATACCAAATGTTAAGATTAAAGATCTTCTTGTTTGATAAAAATCTCTGCTCATTTTAAATTAGATATATCTAGAAGTAATAACAGGGTTATGTTTTCCATAGCGTGTCATCAGCTCATCTTTCCCCAACACTCTGTATACGTTGGTGAACCCAGCAGACCAGTTTTTGGAGTTTAAAAGTAAAATGTCTCATTCTTGCCTGATAGACAATTACAACAATATGGCTATGGTTGAATAGAATAGAATATTCCTTTATTGATCCCCCATGGGGGAAATTTTTTTGTCACCTAAATACTACTTTACTTGTCTTTACTTGTGTAACGGGTATTGACTGGACCCAATTGCAGCATAAACAAGCAGGTTCACTTTAACAACAGTCTTTATTGAACACCAAATCCAATGAAGCAGCAGATTAGCAGTGGACCACAGGTCAGGCAAGAGTTTTGAACTCGTGAGCAGGGAATTGTCCACAGTCTTAATTTGCTCTACGAGTGTAGTGAAGGGGAAAACGCTCAACTCACAGCTGGAGGAAGATTTCTTGGAGAGTGGTTCAGGTGAGGACTGGGTGAGGATCCAGAGCTTGCAGAGGAGCTGGCAGAACCAACGTCGGCAGAGGAGGTGAGTTGGCGAGGTGAAGCTGACGAGAAGGGGGATCTCAACAGAGCAGGAACAGGCTGAGTGACATTCAGCTGCAGGCAGACGAATAGCAGGAACCAGGCAGGCAAAGCTCGTAGTCAAGGACAGAAGGCAGGTAGGTTTACCGGGGCTGAGGCGAGAAGTAAAGGTCAGGGGCAGATCAGGTCAATACCAGGTAAGCAGTCCGAGGATAAACGCTGGAGAGTCAGGCATGAGAGCGAAGACAATCTGGCAAAGAGTGAGGGGAAAGAAGCTGCATATATACTGGCCTGATTGGAGATGATGAGCAGGTGAGAGCAGCAGGTGGAAGCAGTTAGCTGATGAGGGGTGTGGCTGAGCAGCAGAGCAGGAGAGGGGCAGAGCAGACTGTTACAGAACCCCCCCCTCAAGGGATGGCTCCCGACATCCCCAAAGGTTAAACTGGGGGGGGGGGGGGGTGGAGGTGGGCCTAAAACTCCTGGGAGCAAGACCTTGTCATCTCTTCAGCAGGGTGGGTGGAGGGGGTCTGGAGGAGGGTTTCTCTGACACCTGACATCCTCCCCGCAGAACGGTCCTCCACATCCTGGACAGGTGGGGGCAAGGTGCGGGTTCCTCGACGGGCTGACTCATTGGCTGGCTGGTCAGGATGTTGCCGATGAAAGTTGGCCACAAGGTTGGGGTCCAAAATGTGGCGAGCAGGAACCCAAGATCTCTCCTCAGGGCCGTAACCCTCCCAGTCCACAAGGTACTGGAGACCCCTACCTCGCTGCCGAGAACGAATTAAGCGGCGCACTACATACACCGGACCGCCGTCGACTATTCGTGGAGGGGGAGGTAGTGGTGCCGCAGGGAACAAGGGGCTGTTGTGGACTGGTTTAACCTTGGAGACATGGAAGGTAGGGTGTACTCTCATGGACTGAGGTGAGAGAGGTGGGAAGACCGGTTACAAAGTCCAAAGATATGTGAGACCATGGGCGGTGAGGAACAGGAAGAGGTTGTAGTAGCCCAGCAGGAGGCCGACGGGAGGTCTTATGTTGGCTGCAGGTTGGACAGGCCTTGACGAATTCCCAGACGTCCTCTTGCACAGTGGGCCACCAGAAACGTCGGAGGAGGGCATGCTGTGTCCATTGAATCCCAGGGTGGCAGGAGAGCTTGGAGGAGTGGGCCCATTGTAACACCTCCGACCTCAAGGCTGGTGGAACAAAGAGACAGTTAGACGGGCAGGAGCTGGGGCCCGGCTGTCCTTCTGTGGCTGCCTTCACCTTCTCCTCAATGTCCCAGGTCAACAGGGCTACAAGGCAGGAAGTAGGTAGGATGGTCTCAGCTCCAACAACAAAATCCTCTGTCCTCTGGAACTGTCGGGACAGGGCGTCAGGCTTGACATTGCGGGAACCAGGACGGTAAGAGAGGGTGAAGTTAAAACGGGAGAAAAAGAGGGACCAGCGGGCCTGGCGAGAGTTCAGTCTCTTTGCAGAGCGTATGTACTCCAGATTCTTGTGGTCAGTCCATACGAGAAAAGGTTCCTTCGTGCCCTCCAACCAATGGCGCCACTCTTCTAAGGCCATCTTTACTGCCAAGAGTTCCCTATTACCAATGTCGTAATTCCTTTCTGCAGAGGACAGGCGTCGGGAGAAGAAGGCACAGGGATGGAGCTTCTGGTCAGTGCATGAGCGTTGAGACAAGACGGCCCCCACCCCAACGTCAGAGGCATCTACCTCGACCACAAACTGGCGTTCAGAGTCAGGCATCAAGAGGATGGGCGATGAGGTGAACCGATCCTTGAGGAACTGGAAGGCCGCTGCAGCTGCAGAGGACCACTGGAAGGGCACTTTGGGGGAGGTCAGAATGGTGAGAGGGGCTGCTACTGAGCTGTAGTTGCGGATGAAGCGACGGTAGAAGTTGGCGAACCCAAGGAAGCGCTGAAGCTGCTTGCGGTTCTCCGGAACAGGCCAGGAGGTAACAGCTGAGACCTTGGCTGGGTCCATCTGGATGCTGCCTTGTGCCACAATGTATCCCAGAAAAGATGCTGAAGGAACATGGAAATCACACTTTTCTGCTTTTACATACAGGGAGTTCTCCAAGAGGCGCTGAAGGACGGATTGGACATGATGAATGTGTTGCTCTTTGGACCTGGAGAAGATGAGTATATCATCGAGGTAAACAAAGACATACTGGTTGATCATGTCTCGCAGAACATCATTAATCAGAGCCTGGAAGACAGCAGGGGCATTGGTGAGGCCAAACGGCATTACGAGGTACTCGTAGTGTCCAGTAGGGGTGTTGAATGCCGTCTTCCATTCATCTCCTTCTCTGATGCGGACGAGGTGGTAGGCGTTGCGTAGGTCGAGTTTGGAGAAAATGGTGGCCCCCTGGAGCAGTTCAAAGGCACTGGAGATGAGTGGCAGTGGGTAACGGTTCTTTACCGTGATCTCATTTAGTCCTCTATAATCTATGCAAGGTCTCAATGTCTTGTCCTTCTTCTCAACAAGGAAAAACCCTGCTCCAGCAGGGGATGAAGAGGGACGAATGATGCCTGCGGCCAAGGAGTCATTTATGTACGTCTCCATGGCCCTTCTTTCAGGTTCAGACAGGGAGTATAGGCGACCCTTGGGAGGTGATGAACCAGGCAGGAGATCAATGGCGCAGTCATAGGGTCGGTGAGGAGGCAGAGAGGTGGCTCTGGCTTTACTAAAGACCTGGCGGAAGTCATGGTACTCGGGTGGCACCCCACTGAGGTCAGGTGACGAACTGGAGCTACACCCGGAGGGATGAAGCGGAACTGAGGCTTGCTGCAGGCACCTCTGATGACAGGAGGAACTCCACTCCCGGATGGTCCCAGTTGCCCAGTCGATGTGCGGATTGTGAAGACGGAGCCATGGATATCCCAGGATAAGTGGCAGGCAGGAAGAGCTCAGGATGTGAAACTGGACGGTTTCATGATGATTACCAGACAGTAGCAGATGAACAGGAGAGGTCTGATGCGTGACGGTGCCCAGGACATGTCCATCTAAGGCTCGAGCAGGAACCGGGTGAGGCAAAGGAACCCGCTCAAGCCCCAGCTGAAGGACCACCTCCTCGTCAATGATGCTGGCATCAGCCCCGGAGTCAATAAAGATAGCCAAGGTGTGGGGGCCGTCTGGAAGGAGGAGGCGGCCTTGGAGCAGGGGTCGCTGGCTTTGGGGAGGTGACAGGGTAGTTGAGCTCACCAGGGTCTCCCCAACTACTGATGAGCTCTGGCTTTTGCTGGACAGCCGGAGATATAGTGTCCTGCTGCCCCACAATAGAGGCAGAGTTTGGACTTGCGTCTACGCTCTCTCTCTTTCAGGGAGAGAGAGGTGCGGCCCAACTGCATGGGCTCTGGATCCTGAAACTGCTGACCCAATGGGGTGGAGTTGGCTGCAGCAGCACCCCCACGGGTGCGAAGTGGACGAGTATGTTGGGTTCCCCCTTGACGCTTCTCTCGTCGACGAGTCTGAACACGAAGATCAATGCGGATGGCCAAGTCAATCACCCCGTCCAAGGTGAGGGAGGTGTCATGTGAAACCAGTTCATCTTTAATGTAATCTGCCAACCCATGGAGAAAGGCATCACGGAGAGCTGCACTGTTCCAACCACTTTGGCTGGCTCTGGTGCAGAAATCAATGGAATAGTCAGCCACTGTTAGTTCGCCTTGCTTCAGTCCCATCAGTCCCCTTGCCGAATCAGAACCAGAATTCTCAAACCCAAAAACCTTCCGAAGCTCAGCAGCAAACAGGTCAAATGAAGCACAGGCTCGAGACCGCCTCTCCCACTCAGCTGTTCCCCATAGTCTAGCTCTGCCTGTCAGGTGGTTAATGACAAATGCTACCTTTGCCGGTTCTGTGGCGAAGGTGCGGGGCTGTAGGGCAAACAGGAGAGAACAGTTGGTGAGGAAGGGGCCGCAAGTCTCTCGATCTCCGTCATAACGCTCTGGGGTTCCCACCCGTGGCTCAGGAGCATCGCTGGGTAGAGAAGAGGCGGGTACAGGTGCAGGAGCAGAAGGTGAAGCTTCCGAAGAAGAGGCAAATCCAGCAGATGAGGGGAGCTGGGTTAGTTGAGCTGCTAGCTGTTGCATCTGTGCAGCTAAAGCTGCTAGTGATTGTCCCTGAGTCTCAGCAGCTCGTCTAGCTTCAGCGGCAGCCGCAGTCATCATGGCCTCATGTTGCTGCAGAACGCACTCAATTGTCTCAAGGCGATTCAGTGGTGAGGGATTGTGTGCTGGGTCCATAGTTTGGCCAGATTGTACTGTAACGGGTATTGACTGGACCCAATTGCAGCACAAACAAGCAGGTTCACTTTAACAACAGTCTTTATTGAACACCAAATCCAATGAAGCAGCAGATTATAGCAGGTGGGTATGGCAGGATTCGAACTCGGGTCTTCCGGGTGATAGGCGAGCAGATTAGCAGTGGACCACAGGTCAGGCAAGAGTTTTGAACTCGTGAGCAGGGAATTGTCCACAGTCTTAATTTGCTCTACGAGTGTAGTGAAGGGGAAAACGCTCAACTCACAGCTGGAGGAAGATTTCTTGGAGAGTGGTTCAGGTGAGGATCCAGAGCTTGCAGAGGAGCTGGCAGAACCAACGTCGGCAGAGGAGGTGAGTTGGCGAGGTGAAGCTGACGAGAAGGGGGATCTCAACAGAGCAGGAACAGGCTGAGTGACATTCAGCTGCAGGCAGACGAATAGCAGGAACCAGGCAGGCAAAGCTCGTAGTCAAGGACAGAAGGCAGGTAGGTTTACCGGGGCTGAGGCGAGAAGCAAAGGTCAGGGGCAGATCAGGTCGATACCAGGTAAGCAGTCCGAGGATAAACGCTGGAGAGTCAGGCATGAGAGCGAAGACAATCTGGCAAAGAGTGAGGGGAAAGAAGCTGCATATATACTGGCCTGATTGGAGATGATGAGCAGGTGAGAGCAGCAGGTGGAAGCAGTTAGCTGATGAGGGGTGTGGCTGAGCAGCAGAGCAGGAGAGGGGCAGAGCAGACTGTTACAGAACCCCCCCCCCTCAAGGGATGGCTCCCGACATCCCCAAAGGTTAAACTGGGGGGGGGGGGGGGGTGGAGGTGGGCCTAAAACTCCTGGGAGCAAGACCTTGTCATCTCTTCAGCAGGGTGGGTGGAGGGGGTCTGGAGGAGGGTTTCTCTGACACCTGACATCCTCCCCGCAGAACGGTCCTCCACATCCTGGACAGGTGGGGGCAAGGTGCGGGTTCCTCGACGGGCTGACTCATTGGCTGGCTGGTCAGGATGTTGCCGATGAAAGTTGGCCACAAGGTTGGGGTCCAAAATGTGGCGAGCAGGAACCCAAGATCTCTCCTCAGGGCCGTAACCCTCCCAGTCCACAAGGTACTGGAGACCCCTACCTCGCTGCCGAGAACGAATTAAGCGGCGCACTACATACACCGGACCGCCGTCGACTATTCGTGGAGGGGGAGGTAGTGGTGCCGCAGGGAACAAGGGGCTGTTGTGGACTGGTTTAACCTTGGAGACATGGAAGGTAGGGTGTACTCTCATGGACTGAGGTGAGAGAGGTGGGAAGACCGGTTACAAAGTCCAAAGATATGTGAGACCATGGGCGGTGAGGAACAGGAAGAGGTTGTAGTAGCCCAGCAGGAGGCCGACGGGAGGTCTTATGTTGGCTGCAGGTTGGACAGGCCTTGACGAATTCCCAGACGTCCTCTTGCACAGTGGGCCACCAGAAACGTCGGAGGAGGGCATGCTGTGTCCATTGAATCCCAGGGTGGCAGGAGAGCTTGGAGGAGTGGGCCCATTGTAACACCTCCGACCTCAAGGCTGGTGGAACAAAGAGACAGTTAGACGGGCAGGAGCTGGGGCCCGGCTGTCCTTCTGTGGCTGCCTTCACCTTCTCCTCAATGTCCCAGGTCAACAGGGCTACAAGGCAGGAAGTAGGTAGGATGGTCTCAGCTCCAACAACAAAATCCTCTGTCCTCTGGAACTGTCGGGACAGGGCGTCAGGCTTGACATTGCGGGAACCAGGACGGTAAGAGAGGGTGAAGTTAAAACGGGAGAAAAAGAGGGACCAGCGGGCCTGGCGAGAGTTCAGTCTCTTTGCAGAGCGTATGTACTCCAGATTCTTGTGGTCAGTCCATACGAGAAAAGGTTCCTTCGTGCCCTCCAACCAATGGCGCCACTCTTCTAAGGCCATCTTTACTGCCAAGAGTTCCCTATTACCAATGTCGTAATTCCTTTCTGCAGAGGACAGGCGTCGGGAGAAGAAGGCACAGGGATGGAGCTTCTGGTCAGTGCATGAGCGTTGAGACAAGACGGCCCCCACCCCAACGTCAGAGGCATCTACCTCGACCACAAACTGGCGTTCAGAGTCAGGCATCAAGAGGATGGGCGATGAGGTGAACCGATCCTTGAGGAACTGGAAGGCCGCTGCAGCTGCAGAGGACCACTGGAAGGGCACTTTGGGGGAGGTCAGAATGGTGAGAGGGGCTGCTACTGAGCTGTAGTTGCGGATGAAGCGACGGTAGAAGTTGGCGAACCCAAGGAAGCGCTGAAGCTGCTTGCGGTTCTCCGGAACAGGCCAGGAGGTAACAGCTGAGACCTTGGCTGGGTCCATCTGGATGCTGCCTTGTGCCACAATGTATCCCAGAAAAGATGCTGAAGGAACATGGAAATCACACTTTTCTGCTTTTACATACAGGGAGTTCTCCAAGAGGCGCTGAAGGACGGATTGGACATGATGAATGTGTTGCTCTTTGGACCTGGAGAAGATGAGTATATCATCGAGGTAAACAAAGACATACTGGTTGATCATGTCTCGCAGAACATCATTAATCAGAGCCTGGAAGACAGCAGGGGCATTGGTGAGGCCAAACGGCATTACGAGGTACTCGTAGTGTCCAGTAGGGGTGTTGAATGCCGTCTTCCATTCATCTCCTTCTCTGATGCGGACGAGGTGGTAGGCGTTGCGTAGGTCGAGTTTGGAGAAAATGGTGGCCCCCTGGAGCAGTTCAAAGGCACTGGAGATGAGTGGCAGTGGGTAACGGTTCTTTACCGTGATCTCATTTAGTCCTCTATAATCTATGCAAGGTCTCAATGTCTTGTCCTTCTTCTCAACAAGGAAAAACCCTGCTCCAGCAGGGGATGAAGAGGGACGAATGATGCCTGCGGCCAAGGAGTCATTTATGTACGTCTCCATGGCCCTTCTTTCAGGTTCAGACAGGGAGTATAGGCGACCCTTGGGAGGTGATGAACCAGGCAGGAGATCAATGGCGCAGTCATAGGGTCGGTGAGGAGGCAGAGAGGTGGCTCTGGCTTTACTAAAGACCTGGCGGAAGTCATGGTACTCGGGTGGCACCCCACTGAGGTCAGGTGACGAACTGGAGCTACACCCGGAGGGATGAAGCGGAACTGAGGCTTGCTGCAGGCACCTCTGATGACAGGAGGAACTCCACTCCCGGATGGTCCCAGTTGCCCAGTCGATGTGCGGATTGTGAAGACGGAGCCATGGATATCCCAGGATAAGTGGCAGGCAGGAAGAGCTCAGGATGTGAAACTGGACGGTTTCATGATGATTACCAGACAGTAGCAGATGAACAGGAGAGGTCTGATGCGTGACGGTGCCCAGGACATGTCCATCTAAGGCTCGAGCAGGAACCGGGTGAGGCAAAGGAACCCGCTCAAGCCCCAGCTGAAGGACCACCTCCTCGTCAATGATGCTGGCATCAGCCCCGGAGTCAATAAAGATAGCCAAGGTGTGGGGGCCGTCTGGAAGGAGGAGGCGGCCTTGGAGCAGGGGTCGCTGGCTTTGGGGAGGTGACAGGGTAGTTGAGCTCACCAGGGTCTCCCCAACTACTGATGAGCTCTGGCTTTTGCTGGACAGCCGGAGATATAGTGTCCTGCTGCCCCATAATAGAGGCAGAGTTTGGACTTGCGTCTACGCTCTCTCTCTTTCAGGGAGAGAGAGGTGCGGCCCAACTGCATGGGCTCTGGATCCTGAAACTGCTGACCCAATGGGGTGGAGTTGGCTGCAGCAGCACCCCCACGGGTGCGAAGTGGACGAGTATGTTGGGTTCCCCCTTGACGCTTCTCTCGTCGACGAGTCTGAACACGAAGATCAATGCGGATGGCCAAGTCAATCACCCCGTCCAAGGTGAGGGAGGTGTCATGTGAAACCAGTTCATCTTTAATGTAATCTGCCAACCCATGGAGAAAGGCATCACGGAGAGCTGCACTGTTCCAACCACTTTGGCTGGCTCTGGTGCAGAAATCAATGGAATAGTCAGCCACTGTTAGTTCGCCTTGCTTCAGTCCCATCAGTCCCCTTGCCGAATCAGAACCAGAATTCTCAAACCCAAAAACCTTCCGAAGCTCAGCAGCAAACAGGTCAAATGAAGCACAGGCTCGAGACCGCCTCTCCCACTCAGCTGTTCCCCATAGTCTAGCTCTGCCTGTCAGGTGGTTAATGACAAATGCTACCTTTGCCGGTTCTGTGGCGAAGGTGCGGGGCTGTAGGGCAAACAGGAGAGAACAGTTGGTGAGGAAGGGGCCGCAAGTCTCTCGATCTCCGTCATAACGCTCTGGGGTTCCCACCCGTGGCTCAGGAGCATCGCTGGGTAGAGAAGAGGCGGGTACAGGTGCAGGAGCAGAAGGTGAAGCTTCCGAAGAAGAGGCAAATCCAGCAGATGAGGGGAGCTGGGTTAGTTGAGCTGCTAGCTGTTGCATCTGTGCAGCTAAAGCTGCTAGTGATTGTCCCTGAGTCTCAGCAGCTCGTCTAGCTTCAGCGGCAGCCGCAGTCATCATGGCCTCATGTTGCTGCAGAACGCACTCAATTGTCTCAAGGCGATTCAGTGGTGAGGGATTGTGTGCTGGGTCCATAGTTTGGCCAGATTGTACTGTAACGGGTATTGACTGGACCCAATTGCAGCACAAACAAGCAGGTTCACTTTAACAACAGTCTTTATTGAACACCAAATCCAATGAAGCAGCAGATTATAGCAGGTGGGTATGGCAGGATTCGAACTCGGGTCTTCCGGGTGATAGGCGAGCAGATTAGCAGTGGACCACAGGTCAGGCAAGAGTTTTGAACTCGTGAGCAGGGAATTGTCCACAGTCTTAATTTGCTCTACGAGTGTAGTGAAGGGGAAAACGCTCAACTCACAGCTGGAGGAAGATTTCTTGGAGAGTGGTTCAGGTGAGGATCCAGAGCTTGCAGAGGAGCTGGCAGAACCAACGTCGGCAGAGGAGGTGAGTTGGCGAGGTGAAGCTGACGAGAAGGGGGATCTCAACAGAGCAGGAACAGGCTGAGTGACATTCAGCTGCAGGCAGACGAATAGCAGGAACCAGGCAGGCAAAGCTCGTAGTCAAGGACAGAAGGCAGGTAGGTTTACCGGGGCTGAGGCGAGAAGCAAAGGTCAGGGGCAGATCAGGTCGATACCAGGTAAGCAGTCCGAGGATAAACGCTGGAGAGTCAGGCATGAGAGCGAAGACAATCTGGCAAAGAGTGAGGGGAAAGAAGCTGCATATATACTGGCCTGATTGGAGATGATGAGCAGGTGAGAGCAGCAGGTGGAAGCAGTTAGCTGATGAGGGGTGTGGCTGAGCAGCAGAGCAGGAGAGGGGCAGAGCAGACTGTTACATACTTGTAGTTCAAGCATATCCACATGAGTTTCCCTAGAGTCCAGGTGTACATTGTCGAGTTAACCTTCAGTCCAGGTGTATTACATTAAATAAACCTTTAGTTTAGGTTTATATTGTTGAGTTAATCTACTAAAGGTATAAAATATCTTGTGAACTTGTAGTTCAGAGGTGTATATTGTTCAGTTAACCTGCTGTTCAGGTTTATACTCTTGGGTTTAGCTGTAGTTTAGGTATATGTTATTGCGTTTCCTGATAGCTTAGTTGTATATCATTTAGTGTGCCTGTAGTCCAGGTGTATATTCGGGTGTTCACTTTCAGTTCTGGTGTCATATTTTTGAGTTCATCTTATGTTGATGGTGTGTATTGTTGAGTTTACCCGTGGTTTAGGTGTATATTGTTGAGGTTACTAAAGCTAAGATATAATTTACAGAGTCACCTGCAGTTCAAGTCAATTTAATGCTGTTTACTTTTACTTTAATTGTATTTTGTGAGTTTACCCTTTGTTCGACGTGTATTGTGGCTTTTCCCTGTGGTTCAGTTTTAAATTGTTGTGTCAAACTTAGGTTCTGATGTATATTGTCAAGTTTACCTGATCGCTCAGGTATATATTATTGTGCTCACTTTTCGTAATGCTGATTGTTGTTGAGCTTACCTGTTCTTAAGGTGTATATTGTTCTGTTTAACTGTAGTTTAAGGGTATTGTATTTTGTTTTCCCCTAGTGTAGGTGAATTTTTTGGTTTACCCTTGTTTTAGGTGTATAGTGTTGTGTTTACCTTTAGTTCAGGTCAGTCTTGTTGTGGTAACTTTTAGTTTTTGAATAAATTGTTAAGTTTACCGGAAGTTCTGGTGCACACTGTTTAGTTTACCTTTAGTTGTTGTGTCAACTTATGGTTTTGGTGCATATTGATGTGTTTACTTGTAGTCAGGTGCATTTGTTGTGGTTTTAGGGTGTGCTGCTGCTGTGGGAACAGTTTTCAGACTCTGATCATCACAGTTTTCATGACCAGCTGAGTGCTGCAGGCCTGCTTCTTCTTGCTCTGAGAGTGTTCCTCACACTGCTGCTGGCCTCTGTCCTCTACACCATCACCTCAATGGAGAGGAGCTTGCTCAAACGAGACTTCTACCTCTGCTTCACCAAGGTAACCATAACAAAAACTTTATCATAGGCACATGGATCATTTACCTTATAATTATAAATAATGAGTCTAACCTTGTTACATGTAGTCACCTGTCTGTTGCAAAACAACAATAATACTAATAACACTGATGAATGGCACTGTGTCTTCTGTCCACTTAGGGCTGCGTTCTCTGGTTCCTCTGCCACCCCGTCCTCTTCCTCATATCAGCCATATTTAATGAACACCAGAGAGAGAAGGTTTGAACTGTCTAACTTTTGATCTCTCCTCAAACATTCAACTGATTAGAAGTTAATAACATACTCATATGTTAGGTGATTGTGGTAACACTGACAATGTTTCAGAGAAACATTCTCTTTGAGCACAAAGCAGGGGGCACTTTTGTCCTCCTGGTTTAGGCTCACAGCCTTTTGAGGAGGTTGGTCCCCACTCTCTGTTCCCAGAGTCAAGCACCCCCAGTGTTTCTAGGGTATCTAGTACCAACTGTCCCCAGCATCCCCGGTGTTCCCAGTATTTCCTGCATCTGCAGTGTTTTCATTCCTGTCCTGTAATGATGCCCTCCATTTCCTTTGGTGTCCTTCTTTTCTTTTCTCCTTTCCCTTATTCACCTGCTTCTTCCTCTCCTCTCTGCTCCTCCTCTTCCTTCCTTTTCCTCAACATTCTTCTCATTCTCCACCCTCTCCTCATCCTTCTCTTCATGCCCATTGTCGTCCTCTTCAGGATAGTCCTCCTCTTCCTTCCCTCCACCTCTACCTCCTAATCCCCTTTCTTTTCCTTACTGTCCTCCTCTTTCTCACTGCAGGTGGTGACCATGGGGGTGATCCTGTGTCAGTCCATCTCCATGGTGATCCTCTACCAGCTCTTCCTGTCTCGCTCTCTCTACTGGGAGGTGTCCTCTCTCTCCTCAGTGTCTCTGCCTCTCACAATGTCCAGGAGCAACCACAGGGGGCGCTACTAAGAACATTATCCCCACAATGTGATGAAGGTTACGGGAGGATTTGTGTCTTCAGAGAAGGAGAAGGAGGAGGAAAAAGAAGACATTGTGAGCGGCTCGTCTGGATCTTCAGAGATCCAGAAACTGAGGGACTGGGAGGGTTTAACAAAAACATCCGCATAAAGACAGAAAATAAGGAGACACACAAGTTTCCAGGCTTCTGGACCAATCAGATGAGCATGAGCAGAACAGAGACAGACAGGATTCAACATCTGTTGATGAGGATTTTAGGAATAAAAACCTGACCATCAGAGAGCAGAAGAGACAATTTTCTCCTCTGGATAAAAAAAGAGGTCAGGGAAGTTCGGTTAGTCCTGAGTTGAGACATGATTAAAGGAGATGAAACCAAAAGAGACCAGACATGAAACAAGATGAGACAAGACAAGAAAAGGCAAGACGGGAAGAGAAGAGAAGAGACAAGAGGGGAGGAAAGGGAAGGGGAAGGGAAGGAAGGGGAAATGGAAGATGTGATAATATGAAACCAGACAAGAAGAGATAGTTTTCTACTTTTCTGAATGAAAAAAGAAGTCAGGGAGGTTAGCTCAGACCTCAGACAAGACATGATAGAAAGAGATTAAATGAAATGTTACAAATGCTCTGAAATTCGCATCATGGCTGTGGAAAAACAATGCTAAACAGGTCTAAGTTAAGATGTTAGAAATTAAAATCCTGGAACAAAACTGATATTTGAAAATATTAAACAAACCCCAATGTTTGAGGCAAGATGAGAAGACGAGACAGAAAGACCCAAGACAAGAGAAGATGATTTTCTTAAAATCGAGGAGAATAAATGAAATGAAACAATTAGGCAGTTGACAGAGAGACAGATTGAAGTTCTCATGTTTTTTTCTACATGAGAGAAAAATACAATAAAATCAGTTTGATTTAAAGGAACTTGACCTAACAAACTGATGTTTATTTTAAACCATCACATCACTCAAAAAACTGGGAATTTCCTTTCTAATCATACGATAAAATTATTTAGATGTTTTTATGGTGTCTTAACATTGTCAGTATTTCTGATTACTTTAAATTAGATTTGAAATATTACAAATACAGCTTGTCCTTTTTTTTTTTTTTTTTTTTTTTAAATATGATCATTTAGAGTAAGCATTAATTTATGGGAAAGACCATAAACTCAATCTTTTTTATATAATTGGAATATCTAAATATAATTTTCATTTGACTTTCTATAAACTAAGTCACAACAAGACTCATCCCAACAGTATCCAAATTAAACAGTTTATCGTGTACTATTATTTAAAGATATTATGTAAGCTATTGGTATTTATCAGGTTGAAAATAAATATAACCATTTGACTTCTGCTAGACTTTGAGTATGCTCTTACTTTCCTCCTCTTCTATCTCATATTATTTGATCTCTCTTAGTTAATATTTTTCTGCTTGCTTGTAGATTTTTTTTTCAAAGCCAAAGCCCCTTAAGGCAACACCAGGAAGACACACTCACTGAGATGTAATAGCGTCAAGCAGCCAAACAGTCATGTTGTTAATAAAAGGGATGACGAGAAACTTTGTGCATATTTATTTAATGTTACAGCACATACACACAGGGAGATAAGAGTCACTGCTGCCTGATCACACTCTGCGCCTGATGTGAAGTGTGTCTTTATCTCTGTTAACTCTGCCCCAGAGGCGTCAAAACAGGTGTTCTTTGTAATGTCTGCATTAGCTGAGCAGAGGCTGTTCAAGTTGTGAAAGTCAGAAACATACTGAATATGAAAGCGATAACTCTCATATGTTACTGTAAAGAAACTCAGACAGATAATCCCTGGTGTTGTTCTCAAGTGTGCAAACAACCTCTCACTCTGCTTTTCTATTAAAGCTTTACTTCATGACTTAGACTTAGTTTAGTGATTCTTAGGCTTATTTCTCTCTATCTTTAGAGCTGGAATTTTTTCAACCTAAAAAATGAAACAAAAATTAAATGAATTAAAATTTGGATTTAAAAAGATCTGAAATTGTGTTGGTTGTACAGTTAGTGTACTCATTTTGTTGACAGTGAAGAAAGGCACGTCATAACGCCACTAAAAGTTTAGCTCTTTCATTTAAGCTTTTTCATTTTAAATGGAGAGGCAAACTTTATAATTATACCTGCAAATGAATCCTGTTGTATTTTTTCCACGTGAGCCATATGTTTAATTGTATTTTATGACTGATTTTATCATTAGCCTATTTTAACCTGCTCTGTATTGAGTATCTGTCTTAAACTTATTCTCTTTATAGACCTTTAGTTCTTTGTGACATTATCTTATCATTGGGAAAGTTGGGCCAAAAATCTTACAAGATCTCGACCTTCTCTCTCTTTTTCTCATCCCCTCCTCTTTCTCCTGACAGCTGTAGCCATGCTGACTAAGCTAATCAATTGCATTTCATCTGATTCTAAATCAGCCATCCCAATATGCAACAGCAGGTGGTAACCAGGCAGAGAGGAGATCTGAGGCAAGGGAGGAGAAAAAAGACAATAATACAAAATTAAATATACACTTTTTTTGACATAAGGGTTGAATTAGACAACATAAAAGAGATGTGTTTGTCTGACTGCAGGTGTGAGAACACAATTTGCTCATATACTTTCATCAACAAACGGCTGCACATGTGCATGCATGAGCAGATTAGGAGGAGGGGCTGAAAGTCAGGTTTGTGGCTCTGGTCTTAAAACAGATAGTATCTGAGCTGAAGCAGACCAAAAGTCAGGCCCAGGAGAGTCAGTGTGGAAAAAATGAGAGAGAGAGATTACAAGAAAGGAGGAGGAGGGACGATATATGGAGCATTGACTCACACTAAATAAAGTGATGTTCATGTCACATTTTATTTAGTTATCCATACAGACTGTGTGTGTCTTATATTGAGAAAGGTGATTAAAAAAAAACAAAAAAGAAACATCAGAGACTGAATTGGTCACGTTTGGAAAGCTATTGAAAAGATATATAAATGTGTGTGGGTTTTTAGTTTTTGTTTTGTTTTTTTGTTTTGTTTTGTTTGTTTTTTGTATATATATATATATATATATATATTATTTTTTTTTAAATATGCAATTAAAATATATATATATATATTTGAAAGATAAACTAATAAAATGTCTCAGTTGAAGTGTGTTTTATCATTTACACAAGTACAATCTTTTGAGACTGGTTTGAGGACAGGATTAGACTTCACCGCGCTCCGCTGCCCCCCTGTGTCAAGTTTGAGGATCTAACCTTTAAAAGAGATCAGTCCCTTCTCATAGATATCAACAAATAAATATTTTATTTGTTTAACTTCCGCTTCAGTAAAACTCTGTTGTCCCACAACATACACAGAAATTGATACATGTTACACCAAACCCTGTGAGAGCATTAGTTTCCACATCAAAATAATACTTTAATAAACACAAGGCTTCATTTTTTTTACTTTGTATTTGACCTCCTCCGGTGAGCCGTGACCGTCAGAGCTGACGTGTTACAGGTGAACGCTCCACGGTAGTTGGTCTCCACGTGCATCATCAAGAATAGTATACATTCGATTCGATTCCAATCAAACTTTTGATCGGTTGAATATTGTACAGCTCTCCCAGCAATTTCTAGACACAAAGATCTTCAGCGAAAATCCTCCAAGTACAGGAGAGGGACCCAACTGCAGCCCAAGATGGCGGACCCAGAAGATGAACTTCCGCAATGATCTTCCGCAAAACTCACTCAGAATTACCTTCCGGCGGATGGGCTTTCTCGTTGGCGGACTTCCGGCGCCGAAATATTTCGCCAAAAGTTTGTTTTGGTCACATCCATGCGGTACGTTTCTAAGGGAATTAATTCGTCCAGCTAAAAAAAGAAACAACATGTGGGAAGGTTATTCCAATGATCGATTTTTTTTTGTCAGAAAGGACTTCCGGTAGTCGGATTTAGTCGCCAGAAGCTTTTTTTTTTTTTTCGCTCCGTTCATTCCGTAAGAATCGAATTGAATTTATTATTGAGCTAAAAATCAAAATAAAACCTTTATGTATTAATTATGACTACTGTTTTGCTCTGATTTAATTCTGAAGTTTACAGTAATATGTATATATAGACTGATGTCCTCATATTCTGATAATTTGTCAGAATAGGTATAAATGTATATAGAAGTTATCATCTTACTCAAATTCTTATGTAAGAGTTTGCTACAAGTATGGACTGTTTTAACCTCTTGTTACACATCATATACGAGTGTTTTCTAACTTCTCTCTCCAATAGCTTTATTACACAGCACATGAATGTTTCTTAACTTCTCTGTGACCTTGTTTCTACTATTAGCAGGTGTGTGTGTAATGAGGAGAATCCACTCCTATTAGGACCTCGTTTAATGTCAACAATGTTGCCCTGACCCTCACATATTTTCTGTTGTTCATAATTATGTTTTATGAGAGTGCTTACGTTGCTGCACATATTTTTCCCCCATCCTTTAGTAACATTGTGTAACCAGGGACATAGTTTATGAAATGGTGTGCTTCCTGGTGAGCCTCTTCAGGATTGCTTGACTGTGCAAAATCCAAGTATACAATAATTGTAGAGACACAAGTCACATGATCTGTTTAAGGTTAAGAAGAGCCATTTAGCAAAATCAATTGAATTGCGATATCATTACAGACTGTGTAAAGAAATGGGAAATTGTCATACAACTGCTTCAAAGATTTCTTTAATATTTTTCAAAAAATAAATTGTAAACAGTAAAAAAAATATAATCGTATATACATAATTTAGAGCGTTGCCGTCGGTGTGGTGGGGGGCTTAAAATATATTGCCACAGGCCATCATCTGCTCTGCTCTGAGTCGGGTGATGCCATGCTCCTGAAGTGCTTTGATCAAAAGCTGAAAAACAGTCAAATAATGTGAACAATTGAAGTCATGCAGTATGGGTTAACTGTTGTTCTTGAGCTTTCCAAATGAATAAGAACAACCTCTTAACAATATCATCAATTTTCAAAGCAAGCTATATAGTTTGATCTACTCACCTCTGGGAGCATGACATCAAAGACAAAATCAAGCAGGTGAATCTCTTGTTGTGAGGCAGGCTCGTAGTGAGGACCCAGAAGCAGACACTGAGACTGAGATCAGCGTAAAGCGAATTTAATGTCCAAAACAGAAAGGGATAGATAATGAAACAGAGGAAGTCCGGTTGGTTGGCTGGCTGTCGTGTGGGCTGGAGACACTGCAGGAGAAACCAGAGGAGACAGGAGTTAAAGGACATGAAAAGAGTCACTAGGAGTAAAGTTCAGAAAGTTATACCAACGAAGTTTTTTTGGCCAGGAGACGCGTCTTTACCACTGGGCAGGGTAGACAATACTCAGGCGCTGAGACTGAGGGCTGCAGGCTTCTTAAAGTCCCTTGATTGGAGATGAGGAGCAGGTGTGTCGTCTCACTCAGCCTCAGCGCCGGGGGAGGGGAGGAAGCTCTGGAAAAGAGTACAGCCAGACCAGGCAAACAGGGAAAAACAGGAAGTCCAGCCAAAATAACACAGGATGAGGAGGCGTCTCACCACAGTACCCCCCCCCCCTTAACGAACGCCTCTTGGCGTTCTGCCGGGCTTGTTGGGGTGGGCAGCGTAGAACTCTTCCAGGAGTTGGTGGTCCAAGATGAGGGAGCGGGAGATCCAGGAACGTTCCTCTGGACCGTAACCCTCCCAGTCCACGAGGTATTGGAAGCCTCGCCCCCGAGGCCGCACGTCCAGGATTTTCCTTACAGTGAAGGCAGGGTGGTCATCAATCAATCAGGGGGGTGGAGGAGCGACGGAAGGAGGGCTCAGGGTGCACGAGGCAACAGGTTTTAACAAGGAGACATGGAATGTGGGATGAATTTTGAGAGATGAGGGAAGTTTTAATCTCACCGCTGAAGGGTTGATGATTTTCCGGATAGGGAAGGGACCAATGAAGCAGGGGGACAGCTTGCGGGACTCGGTCTGCAGGGGAAGGTCGCGAGACGATAACCAGACCATCTGACCAGGACGATAGTCTGGTGCTGGAGAGCGGTGCACGTCAGCCAGGTGTTTGTTGCGCTCGGCCGTGTGGGTGAGTGCGGCCCTGGCCGATCTCCACACCTCCCGTAGACGCCCAATGTGCTCCCTCACCGACGGGACGGCCACAGGTTGCTCCTGTTCGGGAAACAGGGGGGGCTGGTACCCAAAACAGCACATGAAAGGGGACATACCTGTGGCTGAAGAGGTGAGGGAGTTATGGGCGTATTGGATCCACGGGAGGTGCGTACTCCAGGACGCTGGATGATGGGCCGCCACACACCACAGGGCCGACTCGAGGTTCTGATTAGCCCGCTCCGTCTGGCCATTGGTCTGCGGGTGGTAACCCGAGGAGAGGCTAGCTGCTGCGCCCACTGCCTGGCAGAAAGCTTTCCAGACCTGGGAGGAAAACTGAGGACCACGATCTGATACGATGTCACGGGGAATCCCATGTAATTGAAATACCTGAGTGACTAGGAGGTTAGCAGTTTGAAAGGCAGAAGGGAGCTTGGGTAAAGGGACATAGTGAACAAATTTGGAGAATCTGTCAATGATGGTGAGTATGACTGTGTTACCTTCGGAGGAAGGGAGACCAGTGACGAAATCTAAGGCTATGTGGGACCAGGGGCGTGAAGGCACAGGCAGAGGACGCAGCAAGCCAGCCGGAGGTTGGTGGGAGGCTTTGCTTCGGGCACAGACGGAGCAGACAGCAACAAACGCCCGTACGTCCCGGACCATCCCCGGCCACCAGAACCGCTGCTGGAGGAATTGGAGGGTACGTTGAAACCCGGGGTGGCAGGTGAGCTTGGAGGAGTGCCCCCACTGTAGGACCTGGGAACGTGCGACCTCAGGGACAAACTTTCTGTCCGGCGGGCCGGTTCCGGGGTCTGGGTGGTTCCGGAGGGCCTGGTCCACGATGGTATCAACCTCCCAGGTGGCGGAGCCGACGACACAGGAGGCAGGGAGGATGGTGTCTGGTTCACTGGGGTCCGGGGTCTGAGGCATGGATCCGAGAGAGGGCATCTGGTTTGAGGTTGCGGGAGCCAGGACGATAGGAGAGGGTGAAATTGAATCTGCTGAGGAAAAGGGACCAGCGGGCTTGCCTGGGGTTGAGGCGACGAGCGGAGCGGAGGTATTGCAGGTTCTTGTGGTCAGTCCAGATTAGAAACGGTTGGGGTGCTCCTTCCAGCCAGTGTCTCCATTCTTGCAGTGCCCACACGACAGCCAGTAATTCACGGTTTCCCACGTCATAATTTTGTTCCGTGGCTGAGAGTTTCCGGGAGAAAAAGGCGCGAGGATGAAGCTTCTGGGTCTGAGAGTCCCTCTGTGAGAGGACGGCCCCCACTCCAGAGTCCGAAGCGTCGACCTCCACCACGATATGAAGTGAGGGATCAGGGTGTTTGAGCACCGGGGCGGAGATGAAGAGGGATTTGAGCTGATGGAAGGTGGCGTCTGCTTTGGGGGTCCAGGAGAATGGAACCTTGAGGGATGTGAGCCGGGTGAGGGGAACTGCCACCTTACTGTAGTTCTTAATGAACCGTCAATAGAAATTAGCGAAGCCAAGGAATCGCTGGAGGTCTTTGCGGGAGGAGGGAGTGGGCCAGTCACGGACAGCGCAGACTTTTTCTGGGTCGGGGCGTAGCTCCCCCTGGGCGATGATGTAACCAAGGAAACTGACGGAGGAGGCGTGGAACTCTCACTTTTCGGGCTTCACGAAAAGGCGGTTTTCGAGGAGGCGCTGAAGGATGAGTCGGACGTGCTGCTGGTGTTCCTCCAGGTTTCGGGAGAAGATCAGGATATCATCCAAGTAGACGAAGGCGAACTTGTTAATCATGTCGCGGAGGACATCATTAATGAGGGTCTGGAACACAGCAGGGGCGTTGGTAAGGCCAAAGGGCATAACCAGGTATTCGAAGTGGCCCATGGGTGTGTTAAAGGCCGTCTTCCACTCGTCCCCCTCCCGGATGCGAACCAGGTGATAGGCATATATAGGTCCAGTTTTGAGAAGATGGTGGCTTGACAGAGAGGTTCAAAGGAGGGATCAATGAGTGGTAGGGGATATTCGTTTTTAATGGTGATGTCATTTAATCCACAGAAGTCAATGCAGGGATGGAGAGAGGAATCTTTTTTCTTCACGAAGAAGAAACCAGCAGCCAGGGGAGAAGATGAGGGTCGGATGAGTCCAGAGGTCAGGGAGTCTTGAATATATTCCTCCATGGCCTCTCGTTCGGGCCGAGAGAGGTTGTACAGTCTACTACTGGGAAGAGGGGCTCCAGGGAGCAGGTCTATGGCGCAGTCGTAGGGGCGATGAGGAGGAAGAACGAGAGACTGCTCCTTACTGAATACCATTGCTAGGTCATGGTAGACGGGGGGAACCGAGGTGAGAGGTGGCGGTGGAGATGCTGACCTCTGTCGGTGGATGTGAGGATTGGCGGAGCGGAGGCAGTGGGAGTGACAGTGAGGGCTCCAGGCAGAGATTGAAGATGTGGACCAGTTAATCTGAGGGTTGTGGATTTGTAGCCAAGGGAGTCCCAGCACCAGGGGAGAGTGAGGAGACGGAAGCAGGAACAGCCGGATGTCCTCCCGATGATTACCGGAGAGGATGAGGGTGAGAGGAGCTGTGCAGCGGGTTATGGAGGCTATCACTCTGCCATCGAGAGCGGTGACCTTACGGGGAGCCGGGAGTTCCTCCAGGGGGAGCTGAAGCCGCGCTGCCAGTCCAGCATTAATGAAGTTATCATCCGCCCCAGAGTCAATAAGGGTTTGGAGGGAAGTGGACTCCTTTCCCCACAGGAGACAGGCAGGTACCAGGATGCGTCTGGGAGAGCTGGCAACGGAGGAGGTATGGCTCATCAGTGTGCCCTCAGTCACGGATGAGCCTGGCCGTTTAACTTGTTCGGGCAGTTGGTTAGAAAGTGACCAGCCTGGCCACAATAGATGCATAGCCTCTTCTCTACCCTCCTTCTCCGTTCATCCGGGTGAAGCTTAGTGTGGCCGATTTGCATAGGTTCACCTGCAGATGGCGCCGGATCTGGGAAGACTGAGGGCTGCAGAGGAGACCCGCTGACCGCAACAGAGGAAGGGGAGTCTATTCTAGGGACTAAGGAATGGTTTTTCTTCTCCCTCCGTCTCTCCCTGAGGCGATTATCAATTCTAATAGCTAGCGCTATTAGCTCCAAGGGAGGAGGGCTCATCACGAGTCGCTAGCTCGCCCTTCAATTGTTCAGAGAGACCCCGAGTGAATATCCCCTTTAACCCGAGGTCCCCCCACCCACTCTCGGCCGCCACAGTACGGAACTCAATGGAGTATTCCGCCACTGACCGAGAGCTCTGGGTGAGGGAAAATAGCTGTTTGGTACACTCGGGGCCCTTGACAGGAAAATCAAATATTCTACGGAGCTCTTCGGAAAAACGGGCGTAAGAAGTGAACAGAGGTGAGTCCCTATCCCAGACGGCTGTAGCCCACTTAGCGGCCCTACCTCTTAACAGATTGATGGTGTAAGCGATCTTAGCTCGATCTGAGGGGTAACTAATGGGCTGTTGGTCAAACACTAAGGCGCATCGGAGCAGGAAACCTCGAACTCGGTCTGGGTCTGCTGGGTCCATTCTCCTGGCCTGAGTATTCTGTTGTGAGGCAGGCTCGTAGTGAGAACCCAGAAGCAGACACTGAGACTGAGATCAACGTAAAGCGAATTTAATGTCCAAAACAGAAAGGGATAGATAATGAAACAGAGGAAGTCCGGTTGGTTGGCTGGTTGGCTGGCTGTCGTGTGGGCTGGAGACACTGCAGGAGAAACCAGAGGAGACAGGAGTTAAAGGACATGAAAAGAGTCACTAGGAGTAAAGTTCAGAAAGTTATACCAACGAAGTTTTTTTGGCCAGGAGACGCGTCTTTACCGCTGGGCAGGGTAGACAATACTCAGGCGCTGAGACTGAGGGCTGCAGGCTTCTTAAAGTCCCTTGATTGGAGATGAGGAGCAGGTGTGTCGTCTCACTCAGCCTCAGCGCCAGGGGAGGGGAGGAAGCTCTGGAAAAGAGTACAGCCAGACCAGGCAAACAGGGAAAAACAGGAAGTCCAGCCAAAATAACACAGGATGAGGAGGCGTCTCACCACATCTCGCCTCTTTTGATTTTTTCTGATATGGTTGTTGCCTCCTCAATAAACCGCAGGAGCTCGAACATCTATTGAAGAAAAACACAGAAAGTAAACAGCTTTCAAATGTAATACCTCTGAGAGTAAAAATACTCATGATGGATGGCATTTTTACTTACGCGCTGCTCACTCCAACTTAGTGACCTTATCTTTAGATGCTGCTTTAGCCGGAGTGAGGTGGCGGGATTCCTCCAAAGAAACATCCTGTTGGAGCGGATCTTTCCAGAGAGTAGATCATCGTGTAATGTCTGAAACCAAAGAGCAAGAGACAAAAATGTAATCATCTGAAAAAGAAACGGTGGCTTTAACAACTGATAGTGCATTCAAAAGCAACCTTGATCTGTGTCTTAGAAAAGACAGCATCAATTCCTCCACTGTCAACAGCATCCTTGATCCTGCAGAGAAATAAGAAAAAGAGCAAGCCCTCATTTTTTTCATCCTTTGAGCCTCGTATTTTTGACTGATACTATGTTTCCTTGATAAATTATGTTATACCGAGGATGCTCAATGGAGTCCTCGCAGCCACAGTCAAACGGCTCCATGTCAATACCGGCACAATCCTGATGCAGCCAGCCCCTGCACGTCTTGCACTGGACCCATTTTATCAATTTTACCTCAGGGTAAAGCAATCTGATCAAATGAGAGACAAACATAATATTAAACAAACATGCTGTCCAATTGGTTATACCTCTACAGCACATTTGAATGTATAAATAATTTTCCCACATGATTCGTGCATTTAAACTATATGTAAAAGTGGTCACTTCATGGAAAATCACTGAATATGCCCCGATAATTGCATTTATTAAATTGAGTCTGCAACACACCTCTCTCCTGTGTTGTTTGATGTCTGGTAGACACAGAATTGCATTGAATCTGCCATGCAAATTCTTTGGACATCCGATGCTGTCTGCGTCATGGTTTCCTTGACAAGTCAATTTGAAAAGTAACATCAATTACCAAATACATCGAGACAATGTTGATCCATACAACTGTGTGCATTTTGAAGGACTCCCACTGAGATAATACTGTTTTTAGAAGGCAATTTTCTAACCTCTATGTCCTGCTGCTCGGCCTTCCTCTTAAGCCTGAAGACCGGAGTATGCTTTCCAGCAATGAGCTCTTGACATTCTTTGGTCCAGTGGGCGAAGATTTTCCCACAACTGTCATGACAATATATCTTTAAGTACAATATATTGATTGTCTTCCAGTTAATTAGGGCATCTAGTTTACTTAAACTGTCTACCTGTTCAAAGAATTGTTCTCCAGGAGCAACAGGCACCACCATCGCCGCAAAACAGGCATGTCATGCTGAAATTGTTTGTATTTCATTTTAGTGCACAATACAAAATACAACCTTGAGGATGACACTGCGTGTTGAAAAGTACTTACAACTGAGTAGTCAAACTGTGACTCCATAACGATGTACATGGCAAACTTACAAAAAAAAAAATTATGCGACAACATGTGAGATAACTTTAAAAAAGTCCATGTTGGAAAGTTATTCTAGATACTACAATATTTGTGCATTACAGCTCGTTATGACCTACCATCAACATGAAGATTCCACAGTCTGAGCCGAAGTCCTGGCTGGGGAAGCCCTGATTTAACAAAAGGAAACGTTAATCATCTTGTCACATAAACTTTTCAACTGTAATATAGAGCACGCACAAATACCCCTAAATCTCTGCCCGTTTGCTCAGTCCATGAATGAATGTGGACGGCTTGCTATTCTCAAACTTATTGAAAGTTCTTCTTCTTCTGTAAATTTTGTCGTAAGAAAGTTTAGGTGCATACTGCCACCTACTGCTCTGGCATCGCAAAGCCTATCGGAGGTAATTGCGGAAGTTCATCTTTTGGGTCCGCCATCTTGGGCTGCAGTTGGGTACTCTTGAAGTACAGACGGCTTTCTTTCTTCAGGACATAGATTTAAGACAGGACTACTTAAAAAAAGTGAGAATTGATCAGTTTTCATAAAGATTGCGTCGAACATTTTGCTATCGTCTCTTTCTGACCCCTGAACAAAACGTAACTGATGATAGCTTTAGTTTTGAGATTTTTCATTATATGATTAGAATATAACTAAAGACTACAGAAGTAAACCCAAAGCTGCTGTAAGCACGTGTTTTATATTTGCGGTACATTTTTTCTCAAATGTAACCTTTTTCATGCTAGTTGATCACAGTTTTTTGTCATCATATTGTCACAAGACTAAAGACTAAAAACACCCATATATTGGATAAAAAAACACCACATAACTTGACAAATACGGTGTGTTTAGTATTACAACGTGTAATTTCATACTAAATGAATGTTCTTCCTAATATATTTGTCAAAGTCTGTACAAACCTACCTAAACATTCTCTTTTTTTTTGTTCTGAATCCTATCAAACCCTCTGATCAGTCTCATATTTCACACCAGCCAAAGCTAAACAATTGAAAAGTTAGAATTTCTTCCAAAACAAACTCCATTAAAGTACTTTTATTCAACAGGACACACCACAGACCAAGGCCACAGAGGACAGGGCAGGACAGGGTAGGTGAGAAATTTGAATGTTTTTATAACCCCGTTGTGTAAGGGACAAAAGATCTGATGTGAACCATTAAGCAAATACAAGCAAATTGCCAACATTTGCCAAACTGTTTAAAATTACAAAAATAATTTCAATAAAATCTCTTTCAATGTTGGATGATCAATCAAGCATGGTTAGGAAGATTAAAGTAATTAAAACAAGCTTACATGATAGGCTACATTTTTTTAACGTGGTCATAAAGGTCAAAGGTAACCTGATGAGTAGCATCATTGATTATTAAATATTTTTTTCCATATTATTAACCTTAAATTGGATAACTTTACCATTAGAGAGTTATTTTTGTTGTGTCAAAGGCCACTAAGGGTCAGAGACCCAGTCTGTACAAAAAATTACAAAAGGATTTGTTTTTGTTTTTGCCTGCATATTTTGCAGTGCTTCACTTGGGCTTCGGCCGATGTCCCGGTTTCCAATTAGCCCGGCAGCCTGCGGCTCATCCTCCGGAGGATCACAGTTCTAACATCCAGCAGCAGCTCTTCACCTGCCAGTCCCCCTGGCAGTACAGCAAGGCCACCCACACGATTGATTTCCCAGTACATTGATGAGGCCTTGAAGGAGACGCAAGACTCTCAGTGAGGTTGTCAAAGCCCGCCCTCCAAAAAGGGCGCCCACTGAGGCTCCTGAATCAGGCCCATCAAAGTCAACCTGTATTTCTTTTAAATTGTGGTCTCCAGCTCTTACAGGGTTCTCCCCAAAGGAAACTGAGGAAACAAGGCCAGACGTGCAGGTGTGGTCCCCCAGACCAGCTGTGACCCCGGGTGCTGCTCCAAAGAGGTGCCCATGGAGAGCAGCTCTGGCCCTCAGTGCTGCTCAAGGACCGGGTTCTCCAAGAGTAGCTCTGGCCCCCGGTGCTGCTCCAGGACCGGGTTCTCCAAGAATAGCTCAGGTCCCCAGTGCTGCCCCAGGCCAGAGCTGCCTTTGGAGGCCAGAGCTGCTGAGCCTCGCCCGCTGTTGGATGTCCCTGAACCAGAGTGGGCGAGAAAGGTAAGGCTCTACATGGAGGCGAGAGAGGAGTGGTCTAAAAGCTGGTGGAGGAAGAAACCAGCTCTCAAACCAGCAGGTTAGTCTGCAGTTAAGTAATTTTACCCTTTTAATGTATTCTTATTAAAGTTAAACTTAGTGTCATTGATTTGTAGAAAGGTCTTCAGGTTATTTAAGTGGAAATATTAAAGTTACTTCCCTTTTACTGTGTAAGGTGTTTTAGTTTTTACAAGATTGCAACAAGTATATGGTTCTGTAAAGAGGGAGATTTGTGTATTAGATTGAGGATTTAGATTGTATTTAATGTGGAAGGCAATGAATGAAACTGGACTCAGGAAAATTAAAGGAGGTATGAAAGGGACAAGGTGACAAGGAATTAAAAAAGGAGCTCAGAGGTGAGGATGTTATTGCAAGTGGTACTCTGTATGTAAAAGGTAAGTGTTTCATTAAGATTTAATTTTAAAATTAAATACTGCACATCTTTTAACATTTGTTTGTTATTTTTTGAAGATTTAAACCTTTTTTCAGGGAAGGAGAGAGCAAAGAGGAGAGAAGGTGGGAGGGCCAAAAGTTTTCAGCTGTCATTGTAAAAGATACATACCAATACTTGTTTACTTAATTATAGTTCAGTAATAATGCATTCCTCTACTGTTCACTTCATATAAAGTTTTTTTTTAATTTGGTCCTTATACTTTCCTCGATTTTATCTATTTATTTATCTTTGCAGAGAAAGAAAAGGGAGGAGAGAAAGGGAAGGATGGAAAAGAGAAGAAGAGGAGGTGGGAGGGCCAAAGGTTTTTATCTGCTTCTGTAAAAGGTACAGATCAAAACAAGTTTACCTAATTATTGTTACACTGAATGACATCCATCATTTCTTCATTTTATGTATGTATTGTTTTCTCGAACATTTCTAGTTTTCAATTTTCCCCGCAGAGAGAGAAAAAGGAAGACCAGAGAGAAGTGGGATGGGAAAGGAAATAAGAGGTATTGGGACAGAAAAAGGTACATAATACTTTCTTACTTTGACATTGTTCCACCTGTTTTTTATTGTTTTTGTTTTGTTTCTTTATGCATATTTCACTTAAACTTTCATTTTGTCTGTTTTTCCTGTGCAAGGAGGGAGAAATAAAAGTTCAAAAGGACAGGAGAGAAGTTTACACCTCTTGCTAAAAGGTAAATACTATTATTTGTGTTAACTGAATCATGGTTGTGCATTGTACCAAACATCTTATTTTCACGTCATTTATGCTCATAGATGACCAAAAATGTCCTATGCTTTTTTTTATAGTCTTGTGGAGATGGAGAAGGAAGTATTGGAGGGGGTGAAGGAGAGGAGGTAGGAGGGCCAAAAGTTTTCAACTGTCATTGTAAATGGTACATTTTAATACTAGTTTACTTGATCATACGTCAATATCGATGCAAACCTTTCTTGTTAACTTCATGTGTAGATTTTTGGGTACTAATACTTTCCTTGACCTAATTTTAATTCTAGGCCTAAATAACTTTATTTACCAAGGTGTAGATGTGGATGCAGTTTCAGCACCTCAGACAGCTCCGGTTTCCTTTGGCTGTATGAGTTTTGACCAGTAGAGGGCAGCCTTAGCCCCCTGTATTTTACGGTACTCTGCCTCTGAAATTTTACCGATTTTTATCTTTTAACTTTTATCAAAGGAGTGTCACCCAGAGGTCAGAGGTGGAAAAATTGATTGTAATTTCAATCATTTAATGCAAATGTGTTTCAATAAAACCTTGAATGTTTTTATTACTGACGCTTTCCATTGTTCTCTAGCATCTTTGTAGTCTGATTTTATCCATCTGGGATTTCCATGTTGTAAATCTTAATGTACTGTTCAGAGTTAATTC